AAAACTTAGGGAAAAAAATCGTTCCCCTGGGGCACCTGGGTGGCTCAGTCATTAAGCATCCTGCCTTTGGCTCAGGTCATGATCCCAGGGTCCTGGGATTGAGCCCCGCATCGGCCTCCCTGCTCCATGGGAAGCCCGCTTCTCCCTCTCCCAGTCCCCGTGCTTGTGTTCCCTCTCTCGCTCTGTCAAATAAATAAATAAAATCTTTAAAAAATAAAATAAAAAAATAAAGTATGAGTTAGAAATAATGTTATTAAAAAAAAAAAAATCGTTCCCGAGTAAGGAAAAGGTGGTCTCACAGAGCTTCTGAGGCCGATCCATCCATGACAAGCCCCAGGACAAACAAGCCACAGTCGTGCCCCTTCCCATTCACACCATTCCAACAACCCACACCAAAGCCATGGAAGCCCGAAGGCCTAGGTGACCCAGGAATGGACAAACATATTACAGGATGGAATAAAAATCTGTATATTGTAGCAAAGCATGTAAACACACCTCCTTGGGCCTTTTCCTATTCCGCAAGCAGGAGACATTTCAGAGAAGAAACACACCTGGTAAATACTCACTTCACCAATCCACATCACCAAACTCTGAGGCTTGGGATCTGAACGAAGAAGGGGGTGAGTCGGGAGAGATGGTGACGACACGCAAGGGCCCGCCTGCTGTCACCTCCCGAGGAGATGAACCCCTAAGGTAGTGAATGCCTTAAAAACGTAAAACTCTGAAAGTCTGATTTGTCAAACTGACCCTTGTACCTCTTCTTAGAGTTATTGGGTTTTCTTTTTTTTTTTTTTTAATTTTATTTATTTATTTGAGAGAGAGAGAATGAGAGATAGAGAGCACGAGAGGGAAGAGGGTCAGAGGGAGAAGCAGACTCCCCACTGAGCGGGGAGCCCGATGCGGGACTCGATCCCAGGACTACCAGGATCATGACCTGAGCCGAAGGCAGTCGCTTAACCAACTGAGCCACCCAGGCGCCCAGAGTTATTGGGTTTTCTAAGTCTCCCTTTCGTCTACTCTTAAAGAACTTCTCAAACCCTTAAGGACAAAATGATGAGGTTCTCAAACTTTAAAAGCACACATCACACTCAGATAAGCAACCATACCGTCAGACCAAGAAAGAAAGTAACAGAAATCAGTTTCTCTCCTGACTTCTGACTTGGTACAATCAACATGCACCTACAAGCCTCACACACAGGGTCTCCAAAGGGACAAAGAGCACTGAGCATAGTCCTACCCTCGGCTAGGAGGGGCAGACGTGCTCCAAGCTAACTGCAGTCTGCACATCATCTGTTCTGATTTCCAAAAATGAGGCTCAGGGCGCCTGGGTGGCTCAGATGGTTAAGCGTCTGCCTTCGGCTCAGGTCATGATCCCAGGGTCCTGGGATCGAGTCCCGCATCAGGCTCCCTGCTCCTTGGGAGCCTGCTTCTCCCTCTGCCTCTCTCTCTCTCTCTCTCTCTGTCTTTCATGAATAAATAAAATCTTTAAAACAAAACAAAACAAAAATGAGGCTCAGCTTGGGTGCACTCAGACGTGTAAAAACAAAGTTTTGTTCTCACATATCCCAAAAGATTCACCTAGAAACTTCCTTCTGAAAGAGTTTCTCTTCCACTGTCCTATCAAAACCATAAAGACTGGAGAAGGTGCTAGAGTGACCCAGAAATGGCTCAATACAGAAGCTAGACAAGGGAGAAGCATAGGGTATCCTGAGTCAGCACACACCCTGTCACCTGGTTCCCCCGCTATGGGGGAAACACTGAGGAAGTCTCACTCAGTTCCTGTGAACATTATGCTAGTGATCGTAAAGAAAAATAGGTACCTTTGGGTGGTTTTGAACACAGCCACTGAGAAAATTATTTAAGTCTGGCCCGTAGAGCCAGTGACTGAACGTAGATCCCCTGGAAGCACTGAAAGGGGAGAGAGGATTAGCTTCTTCTGCAATTTGATGGGACATTTTCTCATAAACGAATTACAGGTGGGAAGGGACAGGATGTGGGCTGAAGTATGAGCTTGCTGCCTTTACTTAACCGCTTAAACGTCCCATTAAAATAGGATTCAAACAGGATAAATGGGAACTAAATTCACCACAGAAACACAAAGAATTTGTACAGCTATTGCTTCAACCACCCCCCCAATTCTACAACCATTTCTTGCCTGAGGCAATTTTGGTCACCGAAACCATTATAGTCTCAAAACAAACATGATTCTAACATTAAGTCATGCAGATTTAAAAACCAAAGGATACTATAACTTATCTTTGATCAACCAAAGGTTAATGTTTTGTCAGGCTAAAGAAGGCAAGCACTTTTCCAGATCCTGTATTTTCTTCAATCCTCAAAAAGGAAAATGCCAGTTTTTACCATAAATTAACAATATTTAACATCAGTTGAGGGCAAAACAACTTAAGTTTTTCACTATTATAGGTCAAAAGCCCTTAGGACAAAAACAAGCACAAGAAAGGGGCACCTGGGTGGCTCAGTTGGTTAAGTGTCTGACTCTTGATTTCAGCTCAGGTCATGATCACAGGGTCACGGGATTGAGCCCCTCATCGGCACTCAGCATGTAGTCTGCTTGGGATTCTCTCTCCCTCTGCCTCTGCCCCTCCTCCTACTCACTCTCTAAATAAATAAACAAATAAATAAAATCTGGAGGAAAAAAAAAAAAAACCCAAACCACAAAAAACAAAAACCAGAGAGAAATCCAAACAGGGAAGATTAGAAAGGAGATGCAGCGAGTAAGGGTGATGAGGCCACTGGAACTTCTGCACCATGAACAAAACTGCCTGCAGCAGCAAGTCACTGCGCACAACAACAGGACCAGAGCCTGATGCAGAAGGAATCATGAAACCATGAAGGCATCATGAAGGCGTGTTACTGTAACGGGAAATCTAGACAAAGAAGAACAGAGATGGGTGCTCTTCTGTCACCTCCTCCAGTCCTCACCACCCATCCTACGAAGGCAGGTACTACTAGGCCCACTGCAGAGGTGGAAAAGTTTAGAGTGCCTGAAGCAAGACAAGCCGGAGCTGGAGGTCTATGAGGAGAAACCAAACCTCCCAGGTTTCTACAGCCCTGGAGGTGCTAAGTACTGCCGTTCAGGCATCCAAAACTTGATAAAATACCAACTCCTTTATTTCAATTCATAACTTAATGCTTTTCTGATTTGGGTTAGGGGACCACATTCGGTCAGATGCAGCTCTCGGGGACACAGTCTACCATCTGTTCTTGCTGTTCAGTTCAGATGACCTTTTTAAATCGGTCTTTGCATAGGCAAAGCCAAGATGTCAGGTTGGGCACAGCAAGCCTCCCTTCAACAGGCAAAGCACCACTGTCCTTCTCTTCCAGTCAGATCATCAGTCAGGTTACCCCGGTGTCTCAGACTCACACAAGCGCAAACCCATCAGGCACTGGCTAATTCAATCTGCTAGCAAGCTTCTACTCCACCGCTCACGTCCCTCACCACTCACCTATCCCACCTAAAACAACATGACATTTACCCCTCTCCCTTCCCTTCTCGTTTTCTACTTCCCTTGTTCTGCTTCCTTTTCTTTCATACCTCATTTAACCACCTAACACCCCATGACTTGCTTGTTGTCTGGTTCTCCTCTTGCATAGCAGGGACGGTGCAGCAAGATCACCGAATGAGAAAATAACTGCATGGAAGCCTCCAGAACATAAGCTTCCCTTGAGGGTACATCTTTTCACTGTAAAGCAGATTGTGACTACTTCTCCAGCTCTTGCATGTCCTCCCTCTTCAGTCTGCAAATAAAGCACAGCAGCCCATGAGGCATCCTGTTCATCATGGTATCTCCAGCTTGTTGATCCTCAACAACGAATGACCCAGTCTGGGGAAAGAAACTCAAAGATCAGCCAAGTTCCTTCATAACTAAAACCACCGAGGTCCATGGAAGTTCAGTGGCTCGTGACACACTTGTGCTGTACATCAGTTACTGACTTCCATTGTGTGTTAATAACCAGAACAGCCCTCTGCAATGCTGAGATGCCACAGGCAAAAGGCTCCGTTTTCACTGGTATTTCTAGAAACAAACTGACTTGCAACATCTCCAAAATGAGTAGGGATGAAAGAGAAAAGTTCATTACTAAAAACTGGACAGAAGATGAATCCATGAAATCCTTCTTCCTCTTTCACTACTGTCTGAAAACCACCAAACTTTTCTTGGATCAAAATTCAGAAACTCCCTATTTGTGCATTAGAAAAAAATTAAGTCCATGGGATCACTGCCTCCTGGGATGTATCAATCAATACAGAAATAGAACAGGGGCGCCTGTGGTTCAGCAGCAGAGCAATCGACTATCGGTTTCGGCTCAGGTCATAATCTCATGGGTCCTGAGATGGAGCCCGGCCTGCCTCACCCTCCTCACTCCGCGGGGCATCTCCTTGAAGAGTCTCTCCCTCTGCCTCTCCCCCTGTTGTTGCTCTAAAATAAATAAATCTTTTTTTTTTAGATTTTATCTATTTATTTGAGATAGAACAGGGGCAGGGGAGCAGAGGGAGAGCGAGAAGCAGACTCCCCTCGGAGCAGGGAACCGGATGGGGGGCTCGATCTCAGAACCCTGGGACCATGACCTGAGCTGAAGGCAGACCCTTAACCGACTGAGCCACCCAGGCGCCCCTAAAATAAATAAATCTTTTTAAAAAAATAGAACAAGTTAAAACATGGAATTCTATTTCATACCATCTAGCCCCAGGGAAGGCATACAGCACGTAAGTATTTACAAGTGAAGGCACTAGAGCAGGACGGACCTTAATTGCAAGGTGAGGGAAGCCCCTGGCCAGTTCTGATCTTACATTAGCCCTTCTATAAAACGGCGCTTTCCTGCAGGACCGGTTTAAGAGTTACAAGGTGGCCGCCGGGCAGGCAAGGCGGTGGTCGCCGCCGCCAAGCCCCGGTCCTCCGTTTCCCCCGCCCCTACGCCGTGACATCCGGCCCAGCCGGATGGCGTCACCGCGGCGTCGAGCACCGGCCCCGCCCCCGCCCCGGAGCACCGGCGGGCAGAACCTCCCCGCTCACCTGCCGGCTCTTCCGCCGGGGGCCCTGACGCCTGTCCTGGCCGTCCTGCCGCCTCTTGGGCCACCGCCGCGTCTCCACAGCACAGCGAGCGGGCCCGGCCGCCGGCAGCCGCCACCAGCGGGTGAGACAGTCCCGGGCCCCGACCTCGCGCCGCTCGAGCGCGCGCAGGCGCAGAACAGCGCCACACACCCGAGCCGGTCCCTGCGCGCTCCGGAGACCTCGCGCGTGCGCACTAAGGACACGGCGCCGGCTCGGGACCTCTCCGTGGGTGTCGACCCTATCACCTGACTTTTTAAGGATCGGAACGTGCGCGCTGTCTTCTTACCCAGGCGGTGGAGCATAGAAATCCCAGCGACCGGCTCGGGGCCCAGATGCTCTGTCGACTGATTTTAAGTCGGGCACCTCCAAGGACACATACTTCCCGGGTCCTCCATGGGAAGCGGCTAGCGGGAGCGCACGCCAGCCCCCGCTCCGTCCCCCTCCGCTGCCGCGGGCGCCCCTCGGGAGCGGCCTTCCCGGCTGGAGTGCTGCTTCCGTGACCGTCGCGAACGAAGGCACTGACTCGGGGTGTGCGGGGCAGCATTATTCCCCTTCACGGCCTTGTTTTCTGGATCACAGAAACCGGCGCCGGCTGTAATGTTCCTGCAGAGGTGCTGTCCGGGGATCGGACGCCCTGACCCCAGGGGCCCACGCTGCCTACCTTCCAGTCGAGCAGGAACCAGCCGGTTTCTGCGACAGCGGGGCCGGCCGGCCTTTCCTGACCTTTTCACGTCTCCGGCCTGCACCTCCTGGCAGCCACCTTTTCTCTCCCATGTTTTGCAACGGAGCATAGAGTAGCTGTGGGCCATCTTGCACATGAGACTGCTGTGATTTTATTACATTTTGGAGGCAAAAATGCCTGGGAAGAGGTCCCTGAATGTAGCGGTCTTCCCAAGTGCCAAAAGGGAACGGAAAGCAATTACCCTCGACATAAAATTGGAAGTGTTAAGACGATTTGAAGTGGGTGAAAAGCTCAGCCAGATCGCAAAGGCCTTAGGCCTCGCTGTTTCTACAGTGGCTACAATCCGAGATAATAAAGAAAAAATCAAAGCGAATTCACAAATAGCTACTCCTTTGAGAGCCTCCCGGTTGACTCGCCATCGAAGTGCAGTCATGGAGACCATGGAGCGCCTGCTGCATGTGTGGCTTGAAGATCAGAGCCAGAGAAATGTCCCCCTGAGTGTCACCATTATTCAGGAGAAGGCTAAGAGTTTGTTTGATGACCTACAGCGTGAAAGAGGAGGAAGCTCTCAAACAGAAAAGTTTAGTGCAAGTAAAGGGTGGTTTGTGAGATTCAAGGAGCGCCACTGTTTGCCTCACTTCAAGATGAACAGCACAGCTCCTGGAAACAAGGGTGTATATCCAGAAGTACTGAGGAGCATCATTGAAGAAGGTGAGTACACCCCTCAGCAGGTTTTTAATGTAGATGAGACAGGGCTGTATTGGAAGAGAATGCCTGAAGGAATGTTTATTTCTGTGGAAGAGCAAGCTGAGCCAGGCTTTAAATCTTCCAAAGATCGCTTGATGCTGCTTCTTGGTGGTAATGCAGCTGGGGACTTTAAGTTGAAGCCCTTACTGGTGTACCACTTGGAAAATCCCAAGGCTCTGCAAGGGTACTCCAAGCCCAATTTGCCTGTGATTTGGCGCTCAAACAAAAAGGCATGGGCAACCAGGAGCATCTTTCAGGAATGGTTCACATACTTCTTTTGCCCTGCCGTTGAAAAGTACTGTGCCCAAAATCATCTCACCAACAAAGCGTTGCTCATCCTAGACAGTGCACCATGCCACCCAGTAAATCTGGGTGATCTGTCTGATAATGTAAGAGTGGAGTATCTTCACAGCAGTACAGCTGACTCAGTCCAGCCCATGGGTCAAGGCATAACCTCTACCTTCAAAGCTCATTACGTGAGAAGAACTTTTGAGCACATTCTAGAAGCAACAGATGGAGAGGATACAGCCATGATCAGGGAGTTTTGGAGAAACTACAGCATCATGGATGCTGTAGACAACATTGCAGTAGCTTGGGAGGAGCTCAGACCAGCAACAATGAACAGTGTGTGGAAGAAGATTTGGCCAGAGTGTGTTCAGTTCCAGAGTGTTTCCCAAACAGATAACATTGCACAGCTTCAACAAAATATTGTAACCCTTGCCAAGAATGTGGCTTTTGAAGAGGTTGTAGAAGCTGATGTGGACCAGTTGCTGAGGTCCCACGAGGAAGATCTCTCAAATGAGGAGCTGATGCAGCTGGAACAGGAGCCTGCAGGAGAGGAGGAGAGTGAAGATGCTCCACCTGCCCTGCGCCAGTTAACCACAGGGGAGCTGTCAGCAGCCTTCTCACATTTCGAGGCAGGCTTGCAAGTCCTTACCAATAACAGCCCTGATGACGAGTGGAAACTGCAAGTTTCAAGAGCAATCAATGATGCAATAAACTGCTACAGGGACCTGTACAAGGAGAAAAAGCGACGCTCAAAGCAACTCTCTTAGGTCAGTTTTCAGTGGTGTAACCAAACGTTCATCAAAATACAGCCAGATGCAACAAGATGACCTCAAGGGATGAGGCCCAGCCAAGGCTCTCTGCTTCCAAGATGCTTTACAACTCTGTTTTCTGGTATTTTCATTTTGACACTTGAGAGTATCAAATTTTGTCATTAAAGTTTCATTTAAATATGTGCTTTAGGGGCGCCTGGGTGGCTCAGTCGTTAAGCGTCTGCCTTCGGCTCAGGTCATGATCCCAGGGTCCTGGGATCGAGCCCTGCATGGGGCTCCCTGCTCCGCGGGAAGCCTGCTTCTCCCTCTCCCACTCCCCCTGCTTGTGTTCCTTCTCTCACTGTGTCTATTTCTGTGTCAAATAAATAAATAAAATCTTAAAAAAAAATACGTGCTTTAGAATAATTGCATGCAAGAATACTCAGGAAAATATTTCTTTAAAAAGAGAAAACTGCAGAGAGGAGACTATAAAGCTTCTGTGATTAAATCAGTGCAGTAGTTAGACCTGTGGAATAAGATAGAAAGCCCAGAGGTTTTTTTTTTTTTTTTTATGGTGCGAGACAACTGGTTAATCATTTGGAAAAAGATAATATTAGATCCATGCCTCACAGCATACATAAGAATGAACAAACAGATCAGGGATCCAAAAGTAAAAAATGAAACCATACGAATACTACAGAAACACATAGATGAATGCCTCTTTGACCTGGTTGCTGGGAAATTTTCTTACTTAAAATCCAGATGAAATAAGAAAAGTTAATCAATTTGACTATATAAAAATGTAACAAAAGAACTTTTCCAACGGGGGAACATCACTACAAACAAGGTCAAAAGCAGTTGACCAACTGAAAGAAAATATTTGTAACACAATATCCCTGATATGTGAAGAACTCTTAGGATTAAGAAGAAAAAAACACCAAAAATGAAACAGGCAAGGGGACAAAGGATATAATTCACAAATAAATAAATTAGATCTTGAAGCATATGAAAAGTTCAGCCTCGTTCATAATTTGAGAAATGCAAATTAAAGCTACACAGAAAACACATCTCACTAGATTGGCAAATAATCAGAAAGTATGACTACACATTCTGTTGGGGAGGCTCTGGGGTAACAGGCACCTCATACATTGCTGATAGGGAAGCAAATTGGTATAACCCTTATGGAGGGGCAACTAGACATTCATAAGAAACAGATTTCTTTTGATTTAACAATCCCACTATTAGGATTGTACCCCGAAGATATACCTCCAACAAAAGAAAACGCATGTGCGTAGATTATTTGTTGTATCCTTGTTTGTAACTGCAAAAGTGAGGAGACAGCCTGAATATTCATCTACAGAAGAGTGTTCAGATCTGAAATGACTGTTATACACAATGGACTATAATCTAGATGTAAGTGATGAAACACTAATAAAAGAGGAAGAACGGGTGGGGAGTGGTGTCCAGGGAATACTATTAATTGGAAAAAGCAACACACAAGACACTAGTATGCTGCCCTTTTTGTGGAAGAAAGGGAAGGAAATACATATGTATCTTACTCATTTTTGCAAAAAGAAACACAGGAAGGAGAAACCAGACTAAAGAGATTGGTTACCTGGGAGGGGGAAGGAGTGGAAAGGAGCAAAGGAATGAGAGGGGAGGGGGATATCTGACAGGCCTTTCATAAAGTTTTCTTTCTTTGAAGGGGCACCTGGGTGGCTCAGTCAGTTAAGCATCTGCCTTCAGCGTGGGTCATGGTCCCGGGATCAGGCATCGCATCGGGCTTCCTGCTCAGCGGGGAGTCTGCGTCTCCCTCTGCCCGCCGTGCTCCCTGTTCGTGCCCTCTCTCTCTGTCAGTCAAATAAATAAAATCTTAGGAAAAAAATAACAATTAGCTTGTGTTTTTTAAAGGTATCCATGTCATGCACCCTTCCAAAATAAAAACGGCTAAATATATGTAGCAAATGAATGGCAAAATCTGAATAAATTTTGTTGTAGATTCTATGATACCATGTTGGTGTTAATTTCCAGGGATAATTGAACTGTGGCCATGTGATATCATTGCTTGGGAGGAACAGACACAGGTATTTAAAGGCAAAGGGGCATCACCTCTGCAACTTACTGCCAAATGGTTCAGAAAAAGAAATGTGCATATGTGAAGAAAGAATATAGCAAATGGGGCAAATGTTAATATTTAGGGAATCCAGGAGATGAATAAATGGGAATGTTTTTGCAGTGTTTCTGTAAACCTAAGTTTGTCAAAATATAAATGGTAAAAATACTATTGCATCACCTGAAAGTGAGGGAAAACATACTTCATCTTTCATCGACCATCCGAAGGGTAGCTTTACAGTTATTTGTAGTTGGGGGTGTGTGCTCACACATGCCGGCATCAGGCCCACAGACAGCACTTCCACACCATCCCTCCAGCTCTCCGGTTTCTTTAGGCATAGAGTTGCAGTCTGTCAGCCTATCTGAATTGCAACTGGGTGTGGATGATGTATAAAGGCACCTTCTAAAGCAGAAGATTCCATATGTCCTCTGGGTCATGGCCCCTTTGAGATTCTGGTCACAACTGCAGATCGTGTCTCTGAAAAGAATGTACATATACAGGGCCTTGGATGTAATTTGGGAGGGGGGCAGTTATGGTTGTCCCGAAGACCACGGGAATGGTCTGGAGTTGCAGTGAGGGCTCTTTTTGGGTCTAGCTTGTGAAAGAGGCTGCCAGGGGCGCCTGGGTGGCTCAGTTGGTTGGGCAACTGCCTTCGGCTCGGGTCATGATCCTGGAGTCCCCGGATCAAGTCCCACATCGGAGGGGGGGGGGGGTCCCTGCTCGGCGGGGGGTCTGCTTCTCCCTCTGACCCTCTTCCCTCTCGTGCTCTCTGGCTCTCATTCTCTCTCTCTCAAATAAATAAATAAAATCTTTAAAAAAAAAAAGAAAAGAAAGAAAGAGGCTGCCAGGAGCTGGACATGAGACTTGCATGACCAGCCAGTTTCTCGTTGCCTGCATTGGGTGAACGAGATAATCCTTCTACAATGAGGACTCTAGAAGACACAGTTTCTATTTACTGAGCATTCTCTGCATGCCAGGCTCAGTGCTCAGTGCTTCCTAGAACCTAAACACTCCACAAGGTATGTGTTTTCATCATTCACAGAAATGGAGCTGAGGGGAATCCACACACTTAGCCTTCTGTCTGACATCCATCAAGAACTCCTCCCCAGAACAGATCACATTGGACCCCACTAGATGGGGAAGACTGTGGGCTTTCCCTAAGCCTGCATTTGGTCTGCATGTCAACAAACCCTGCCTTGTCCCCAATTCACCACACACACCAGAGTCTAGAGAACACGGATTTAATGAGACAGCAGCTGCGGCATTATTACAGCTAGATATCCCTACTGCTCTTCTGTGAAGGGCTGGCCATGCAAACTGGTTCTTCGGCGGGTTCTTGTACCGTGCCGTGGACTCCCAAGACCCACACGTGATTTTGTTTAAAAACTCTGCCATTCAGGAGGGTAGGTGGAGATAACTGGGGAGGAGGAAATGGGGGCAGTTAAAAAGAAAAGGGAGCCAACTCTTCCGCCAGCAGATGCCAGCATATTAACGCTTCCTATGGACACAGTGATTATGACTGGAATAATGTGATGTTCGTTACACACTATATTCGGGAATGGCCAATATCCTTATGACAGAAATGTAATGCAGTGGTGAGAAGTGTGCAGATCTGGGGGTGTAGGAAAAGGGCGTTTGGCCCTTAAGCCCCTCTTCAGCCCTAGAGAGGAAGGGGAAGCAGGACGGGGACCTGCCGTTGACCCAACCTCACCAGTGTTTGCTTCGCACTGTTTCCCCGAGGCAGATCAGAACACACCGCAAGAGGACTGCCTTAAAGCCACCACGTGAGGCTTTTCTGATGGTGCAGAGAAGCGAGGAGGAGGGGACACTGTCTTTATCCAACCCTCTTATTGGCCAGCAAGCTAGGCTGACCTTTCTGCTGCAGGTCGCAGATGACAGATGTCCAAGTAGCTATGTTCCACCACCTCCACCCGTGCGTGTCAACCGTGCCCACCAGCAGGCAAGGACGATCTGGGCAAGAGGGCACAAAAGACTGGAGAGCCACATCCAGAAACATCCTCCTCCCACAGGCCACGCCCTCTATAGCAGGGTCTCTAAAGCACGAAGCATCCCTGCAAATACCAAGGCCGACGCTCCCCCGGTGAAGTGCTGTGGCTTCTCATGCTCTGTCCAGGGGTTCCATTTGTCAGCTGGGACACAGGACCTTCCACATCCCATGCCCCGGTCTTCCTGCACACGCTCTGGGATTCCTGCCCAAAGCTCCCTTGAGCAAATATTCCCAGTGCCTGACCTCAGGCCCCCAAACAAAAGGCCACAGGCTGGTGGTGGTCTATGAGCTGTACGGAGCCCTCCACTGGCACATGGAGCTCCTCAGGCAAACAGGCCAATGGCAGCCAACCCTGTGGCCTAACCTAGAACCTCCCCCAGGGTCACAGTCCCTGCTCCAAACTGGGAAGCAGGACAGCCTCCTCCAACTCGACCCCCAACCACCCAGCCTAGAGCACCACCGTAAGCTGGGAGAGCAAAGGCCAGAGCAGGGGCTGGTCCACCAAGGGGAAGAGCTTCACGGCCCCCTTCCCTCCATGTTGTACAGAAGTGGGAACCCCCAGGGCTGGCCCTGTCAGAGGAGAACCCAGAGGGAGAGAACTTTGGGAGGCAGGAGCAGGGCCCTCAGGAGACAGTCGTGAACAACTACAAGTCCCCACACAAGGGGCCAAGGGGATGGGGGGCCTCCAGGTAGATCCAAACCATCCATTGCAGAGAAAACTCAGGCCCAGCCTGGGTGTCTGCAGCCAGCATTCCCAAGGCTCGTCGGCCACTCCCCCAAAGCCCTCTGGGGGTTCTCAGCGTGGCCAAAGCCCAGCGGCCTTGGCCCCAAGTGCCTCCCCAAGGCTCTTTGCCACAGGGGGTGGGGAGAAGCCTTTCCCCACTTCCCTGCTTATGGAGCCCTGCAGCCTCCACAGCAACACACCCAGGAAAGAGCCAGGCGAGACTGCCCCAAGTCCCAGCAAGTGCCTAGGAGAGGGACGATGGTCCTCATGGTGCTGCTTACACCCCTCTGGCCCAGCACAGGTGAGAGGTCCAGGGGCTGCACCCTAGGGGTCTCCAGAACACAAGAAACATCTTGACTTTGGCAATGACCAGCAGTTTGGATGCCAGAGAGGCCTGGGAGGGGTTCCTGTTGCTCTAGGCATCCACGTCTGGACCAGGCTCCTGGAAGAGTGACTGCTTCCGCAAGGTGAGCCGAGCACATTTGGGACACGTGGTGGAGTTGTCATAGTAGCAGTCCCTGGGGGCAGGGAGGGTGGGGTCAGCCCCAGCAAGGGTCTGGGCTCTCTGCCTGTGAAATCCTACCACTGAGCATTCCCAGACTTCCTAAGTCAGGCCTTTCTATCCCCCCTCTACGGACGGGGAAACAGACGCAGTTTCTCCCAGAGGGCAGAAACCAGGTCTGCACCAGGTGCACCCAGGCCTGGGGTCCAGGGCCTCAGTGCAGGCCCCTCCTACAGGGTCCACACCCTGCTAGCTGGTTACCATCCGACTTCTGCTTGGAGCTCTCAGTGTCTCGGCTTCCCTACCTGTTCTTACCACCACAGCACAGAGCCTCCACTGGGGCAACTGGGGGCACACAGGATCCTGGGGACTGTTGGTCCACAGAACCCACGGCTGGAGCATCGTTTCCGCTACAGTCCTTTCTGTGACAGCCGTCCCAGGCTGCAGCATCAGTGCTTGCTAGGACGGACAGCAAGTGCCCGACAAAAATCCACGTGGACAGAAATGGGAGGTGCCCATCTGAATCCAGCGTGAGGCATCATGCAGGGCCCAGCAGGTGCACATCTACAATTAGTAACTGTACTGATTATTCTCCCAAACATCCACTAGGTCTTTTTGTCATAAATGCTTACGTTGTTTGAAGCTAAGTACTTAATAAAAAATGTTAGGTATTTCTTTTGGCCTAGGGATGTTTGAAAAAACCACTGAGACACTGTGGATGCGAGGAGCTAGAAAGCTGAGGGACCTCTGGCCTCCACTACACCTCAGGTCTGGTGGGGATGGGGCGCCAGTCAGACACCACGTGCAACCTGGGGTCTGGGCTACACCCCTCCCCAGCCCCACAGGGGCTTGTCCCCAGTGGAACCTCGACTTCAGTCACACACATCAGGGTCTAACCCCATGTCTAGGATCAAGGCAAAGGGCTTTGAAAATCAGGCAGCAAAGACTGACGACCAAAAGCCTGTCGTCCCCCTCCCTGCACACGGGGAGCCAGCACGCCCGGCTGAGGGTGGGTCCAGCCACACTGACCTGTGGAAGACGGCACGGCAGTCGGTGCACACGGACGTGTGGCTGTCGAAGGGGAAGAGTACGTCACCCTCTCTGCAGAGCTCACACACGAAGCCCTTGGCCTGACACCGCTGGGGGCGACAGGGCGGAGGACAGGTCAGTGCCCTCTGCAAAGGGCACCTGAGCCAAGGACACACTGGGCCACGCTGCCTGCCCGCCCGCCCTGCCCTGGGGACTGGGAGCAGAGAGAGAGAGATGCCCCCCGGTCTGCGGCAGGGAGCCCACCTCACAGTCCAGCTTGATGTGCTTGGCGAAGAGCGTGTGGGTCTCCGTGAGGGAGCAGCCGAGGCGGCCTGTGTGCGCGTCCAGCAGGTCCTGCACGGAGTACATCTCATCGTTCTCCACAAAATGCTGCCGGTCCTGGAGCTGTGGGTCCCAGCAACCGTGGCCCCAAACACCGGGTGAGGGCCCCTTCCGCGGCCCACCCACTGACACGCCCATCCGCCAGGCCCTCAGTGCCCACGGAAGCAAGAGAGGGTGTCAGTCTCGGGGCCGAGCGCCGCGCTCCCCCAGCCACACTGGCCACCTTCTTGCTCCAGGCACCCCGCCCCGCCCTCTGCCCGGCACACCATACCTCCTCCCGGGCCTCAGCCAGTTTACCGCCTCCTTTCCCTGCTTTATCTTGCCCACAGACCTCACCTCCCCCCGACTGTTCTTCTTCCCCCCCTGAAGTGAGGACATGGATTCCTGCCGGTTTTGTTCCCTGCTCCCTGCGCTCTAGAACAGTGAATACCCAGGGATGTTTGTTGAACAAACAGGTGAGCCATGAAAAGTGTGTTTGTGGTTACTCCTGCCTGCAGAACTGTGCCTGGTCCACTACATGGAGACCCAGGTGAGGGCTGCAGGGCGACAGCCGCTTCCCTTGGTGATGGAACCAGAGAACACTTTTGTGGATGGAATGCCTGTGTGCTCACTGAAGACCTAGTGCTCCTTGGAACACAGCAGGGGAGACCCCCTGCTAAAGCACAGCACACCCAAGCTATGACGTCATCGGAAAAAGACTTGGGCACAGCTGTGTCCTCACCGCCCTGGCTCTCCGCTTCCCCTTTGCCCAACCCCCGGATTCCCAGCTCCCACTCCGGGCCAGGGGCCTGACCTGCAGAAGGAGACGAGCTTCCATGGCCTCCTTGCAAGTAATGAAGTACGGCTTCATGAGCAGGATGTCCTGGCGCAGCTTCTGTGGACAACAGGGGCTGGTTAGCATTCTCAGCCAGGGCAGGGCTGCGCCGTGGCACATCTGGGGGCCGAGGGGGCTGGCACTCCAGGTCAGGAGGGGACAGACGGTGCCTCCACGTCCCCCAGGATGGTCCCAGATCTGAGAGCTGCAGCCAAGCTCAAGTTCAAACCCCAGCTTCCTGGCCAATGCCCCCTGAGGGGCACTCATCCTCAAACACATTGTACAAAAAAGAGAAAGAATAATGCTGTATGTTGATTATCTTGAAATAATCTTTTGGATATATTGGGTCATATAAAATATACTATTTTTTTTAAAGATTTTATTTATTTATTTGAGAGACAGCGAGAGAGAACACGAGCAGGGGGCGGGGAGAGGGAGAAGCAGGCTCCCCGCTAAGCAGGGAGCTAGACCAGGGCTGAATCCCAGGACCCTGGGATCATGACCGGAGCCGAAGGCAGACACTTAACGACTGAGCCACCCAGGCGCCCCCACTCACTCACTTTTTTACTTCTTTGCTTATTTCTTCACCTACTTATTTAATTTTTATTGTTATGTTAATCACCATACATTACATCATTAGTTCTTGATGCAGTGTTCCATGATTCATTGTTTGTGCCTAACACCCAGTGCTCCACGCAGAACGTGCCCTCTGTAATACCCATCACCAGGCTAACCCATCCCCCCACCCCCCTCCCCTCTAGAACCCTCAGTTTGTTTTTCAGAGTCCATTGTCTCTCATGGTTTGTCTCCCCCTCCGACTTACTCCCCTTCATTCTTCCCCTCCTGCTATCTTCTTCTTTTTCTTTTTTCTTAACGTATGTTGCATAAAATATACTATTAAAATTAACTTTACCTGCTTTTTACTTTTTTAATGTGGCTACTAGAAAATTTCAAATTGCCTCTGGGCCCAGTATCATATTGTGACCGGACACTGCTCTAGGGTCTTTCACCCTAAGGACGGCTGAGGGGCCCCCTGAACCTTAGCAGGTGGCATCTCTCCTCCGCTCCCAGGGCACACGGGGAGAGCAAGGTCCACCCTCACCCGTGCCCCGTCCAGCCTTACCCGGATCTCCACCAGACCCTCCACATAGTTGAACAGCAGAGGGTTGATCTCTCGCAGCCTGAGAACCGGTCGAGACACCATCAGCGCCAGGTAACGCATGCTGCAGCGGGACACCTGGGGGGCATGGTGGAGGGGCACCTCCGGCATTACACACGCCACCCCCCAGAACCATGCTCCCCCCAACCTGAGCCAGGGCTGAGTACTGACTCTCTCTCCTTGGGGCTCCATCTCCTCCCCTCCCAGTCCCTTCCCCGCCCCCCAGCCTCTATACCAGCCCTTGGGCCCTGCTCTGCTGCCCTTGCCTTGCGCGGCTCAAAGTCCCAGTTGTGCACGACTCGCGCAGGGATGACGGCCAGGTCATTCCAGTGGCAATGGCTGCAGTAGTACTGGCCCGTGTAGTCACACTGCCGGGCCTCGCTGGGCACGCCTCCTGCAGGCAGGACGGGTCATTACAAAGTCGGGGCTGCCTTCAGGGTCCTTGACAGCTTAGGAACCACATAAAGCATGGAAAGCATCTGGGGGAAAGAGGCAGCTGACCTCGGAGGTGCCACCCTGCAGACCTGACACAACCTCTTCTCAGCCACAGGACCTGAAGCAGATCAGGGCACCCTGCTACCCTCAGTTTTGTCATCAGTAAAATGGGACAATAACAGGACCCCCACCACGGGACTGCTGAGAGGACCCCATGAATTAACATTAGTAAATCTATGACACGTGGCACATGAATGGTATTATGCGATTTTTCCCATCTAGGTGGGCTTTCTGTGTCCATGGGGCCACACGGGAGGCTGAGTGCAGGCCAGCCCTGTGGGAACCCCTGGGTGACCTGGGCTGGAACCTCAGTGTGCTTGAATGGGGAGTGAAAGGGTGCAGGTTGGAGCCCCTTGTCACTTCCCAAGGAAGGAGAGCAGGACACCATCCCCAGGGGCCCAGCTGTCCCTAGCTGTCTGATGTATTCAATTTCCTCACAGCTGCCCAAAGCAGCCTCCCTCCCCTGCAGCCCGCTCCTTCCTGGGGCACTCACGCAGAGAGATAGGCGCCCGGCACTCGGCGCAACGGTAATCTTGGCTGTCCAGCCCTGTCTCGGGGCAGATGTTCAGCTCATATTCAGCTTGGTGGCTGACTTTGGAGCGCACACAGGGCTTGGAGATGAGGTTCAAGCACTTACTGTGACAGCGGTAGCAGCAGCCTGGGGGGGGGGGCATTGTGCCTTTCAGAAGGGGGGCGTCCTGCAGCCCGACCGGCCTTCAGCTCCACTCCAATTCCCACATCAACCTGAGAGCTTCTCCAGGCCCCTCTGTAGGTCCCAAAACCTCAAAGACCTCGGCAGTCCCCACCCAAGCATTGCCCTGGGGGTGCGCCCAGACCTCCCTCCTCAACTCCAAAACCTGCCATTCCCACCTGGATGCCTCAAGGGCATCAAACTCACTCTGTCTAAATGAAATTGTCGCTCTTCCTTAACAAACCCACCTCCCACCCAGTTTTCCCACCTCAGGTTTCAGTAACTCCACCTTCCCACCTGCTGAGGCCAAAATTTGTAATGTCCTCTCAACCCCCCTTTCATGCCTGTTTCCAGCCCCTCGGCTAGTGCCGCACCTGGACACTTCTCACCCAAAAGACTCCGTCCTGATCAGAGGGCCGTCACCCTCCCCCTCCCTCTCTGCACTCCGTCCTTCAGTCCATGCTCAGCTCAGCTCCGGGGCCAGAGTGGTCCTTTTAAAACCTAGGCATGTCCAGCACCGACCCATGGCCCCCAGTGCACTTAAAGAAAAGCACATGGCCACCTCTGAGTCCACTCAACCAACCTCCTCTAGGGTGCAATGCCCCAGCCACACTTCTCTCTGCTCCATACTGAAGACACTGGACACACACTAGCCACAGGGCCTTTGCGCAGAACTCCCTCACAGGAACATTATTCCCCACATATACTCCTGGCTTACTCCCTGACTTCCAAGTTTTGCTTGAATGTCACATGATGCCTTTTCATTCCACCCTAAAGTCACACCCATAACACTCCCTGACCCATGCTGTTCCCTTTCCTTATTTTTTTTTTTCAATGTACTCTATTGTCTAACACACCATATGCTCATTCGGAACAGAACCATCCACAGGAATTCTCTGCAAAAATAGAAATGTCCAATATGGTGCCCACCAGCCTCATATGGCTATTGGGATAGCACAACTAAGGAAAGAAGTAGTTAGTTATTCTAACTAGTTTAAATTTAAATTTGAATAGCCACCTATCGCTATGGCATACTAGAAAGCCAAATGTGGATGTGAGCCTGGTAAAGGCAGGAGTTTGGGTCTTTTGTCCCTTGTTTTATCCCAGGTAGTCCACAAGGCTCAGTAAATACTGAGTACTGCAGAGAATTCACCCGAACACAACCCAGAGCTGCCAGGTCTCTGCCCTGCCCTGGGGACCAGCACTGCCCACCCAGACAAAGCAGGTCTGGGTGTTGGCCTACCTGTGCAGGTGTACCAGGTCTGAATGAGCCCCCAGATAATAGTGTTACACTTGTCACAAGTTTGCTTGACACTCTTGCTCTTCTCCTTGTAGAAACGGTGCTCCAGGAGGACTCGGATGTTGGGCTCATCCTCATTGGGGTCCTGGAGAGAGGCCCGGGAGGGGTCATAGGTGAGCCGGCTGCAACTCCTTTCCCTTCCCATGAACCCCTTTATTTATTTCTTCCAGGTACCATTTACAGCAGATATTGTGAGTTTCCCCCAATGTCACACCCCCTTTTCCCTTTAGAAACAGAATTCCCCAGTAACCAGTCAGCCCAGACGATAGACTGACTTTCCCTGCACCCAGGTGCTGTTCTGGGACGATGTTAGGGTCAAGGGTGTGTGAGTAGGAGTGATAAGGCCTTCTCTCCCCTCCCACCATTTTTTTCCTGCTAAGTACAGACCCAGAGGTGACATGGGGCCATCTTGGATTCTCCACACGGACTGCCAAAGCAACAAAAACAGAGGGCCTGGGACCTCCAACACCATTAGCTGCCATATGGGCCTAGCTCACCTGTAGGATCTCCACATGAGTGAAATATCACATGTCATTCCTTTAAGCCACTGTATTTTGGGGTGTCTTTGTAACCACAGCCTTACTGACACCCCAGTGAATACTCTGCTTTCTAAATTCCCAGCGACACATGAGCCATGCAGGGACACGGCGGCAGCAAGTTAAAGGGCACACACAGTCAATGTGCTCCTGTAGGTTTTGGCCTCTAGGATCCATTACCCTTACTGCTGTCCCCTTCGTGAAACACTCAGGAGGCCACCATCGCCCCCCACCCACTCTAGGTCATAAGGTTCAAGGAGGGACTGACCTCACTTACTTGAGCCAGTGGGTGGGCATGTGCCCAAGACTGGCCAATCCAGATTAGACTAATAGAGAAATAGTCTGCACATGGGGTGAAGGCCCACCTCTGTCCCCACCTTTCTGGGTGGCTTTCTATCTCAGTCCCTCAGCTCCCCAGCCTCTAGAACTTCATTCTCACATTGCTCCAGTAGCCTCCGTGGTGGGGTAGGTCAGCACCCACCTTCAGCTCCTGGAGCTTCAGCCGGAGGTGGATGAGCCTCACGACAGCGTCCTTCTGCTTCTCCGACTGCTCGGGAAGCTCCAGAATCACCTGCTTGCACTCCTCGATAGCCTGCCGCAGCTGCTGAATGTCAGAAGCCAGGAACAGACCCTGCCCAGGTTGGGGGGGGGTGGTGCGGCAGGTGACAGCATCAGATGCCTACCCTGCATGCTCTCCACATGGAGGTCAAGCCCAGAGCAGACCTCCCTGCTCCTCACTTGCCTCAGTGAAGAAACTGAAGCCCAGAGGGAGGGGCCGAGGATTTGCTCAAGGCCCAAGACAGTTACCGGCACAGGTAGGAACCACCCCATGCCACCTGCCCCCCAGCTGGACCTGTCCACTCACAGGCCTCTGAAAACCTAATTCAGGATGTTTTTCAAAACACAACTTCCTTCTTGTAGAAACCTAATCACTCTTCTGGCTATGCTATTTTGCTTACTTCTACAGAGCTTCCTCTTGGATGAAAGCTGGGGAAATGACAATTTGCCTGTCATGAAGGAGAGGAAGTGGCCTCCAGCTTAATCACCCAGCCCAGAGATGCCCCAGACAGCCAACCACCCCTAGCACCAGCACCGCACAAGGACTCAGAGCCAGGGCCCAACAAAGGCCCTGCGCTTGGGACCCTGCTGTCAATAGGGAAGGAAGCCAAGCTCAAGTCTGAGCAGGGGAGCTGAGGCTGATCTCACCCCAGGCAAAGGATAGAACTGCCCTCAGGAGCCACCCTCCACCTCCAGGAGACCAGGCAAAGAGGAGGTGACAACCCTACTCTGGAAGCTCAGTGTGTGGCCCCTACGAGGGGCTCAAAAATTTCTTTAATGAAGATACAAAAAACAAATACAAAATGACAAGTAAATGAGAACTGGGGGCTTCTGGGTGAATCCTTTTTGATTTCAGTTACATTAGAATGTTTCTGTTTCTCTCAAATAAAAGTTGAAGATACTTTGCATAAAGCTGAAAGATGTTCAAACTTTTTAAAAGAGATTATTAGAGCCCTTTAATTAAAAAAAGAAAAAGCTTCCATAGAATAAAAAAATTGAACAGAGGAGAGTGGCCCTGTGGTCCTTGCCTCACCCTGCTGCACAGCCACAGGATCCCCCAGGACCCAGTTGGAGCCAGCCCTCATGTCTGCCTCCCAGGAACCGGTAACATGGGGAGACGGACGGCCCCACACAAGAAGAGCAGCTTCAGGTCCCAAACCCCAGGTCAGCTGATCTTCCCTGGCTCCCAAACAGGTTTTGGAGATGAGAGTCAGCTGTCATGAGGGTCTCAGATTCAGGGCCCAGGAGCCCCAGCCAAGGTGGACTGGCCCTGTTGCCTGAGGATGGGGTGACAAGGAAATGGCTGGCTCCTCCTCCTCGGGGGCTCACCCAGTCCCCCTCCCACCCCAGGCCCAAAGCTTACCACAGGGCGGGAAAAGTGGTCCTCAGATAAGCCGAGATCCATCACTCGCTCAGTGCAGCAGAACTCTGGCTCTCCAGGCGGCAGCTCGGGCAGGGCCTCTGCAGCGGGTACAGGTGTGGAGGGCAGCAGAGAGAGAAAGAAAAATCAACCTGCCGGGCGCCTGGGTGGCTCAGATGGTTGAGCGTCTGCCTCCAGCTCAGGTCATGATCCCGGGGTCCTGGGATTGAGCCCCGCATCGGGCTCCCTGGTTGGCGAGGAGCCTGCTTCTCCCTCTCCCTCTACGGATCCCCCTACTTGTGCTCTCTCGCTCTGTCAAGTAAAGAGATAAAATCTTTAAAAAAAAAAAAAAGAAAGAAAAATCAACCTGCCTTTCCCCCAGAAGTAGGTTGGGGATGGGAGAAGCCCACAGGAGGTGCTGAGGGGAGCCAGGCTCTGCCCTGGTTTTCTGCCCTCTTTGCATGTGCAAAGGAACCCATATCCTAAATAAATAAGAGAGAGCCATCCAAAAAGATGAGGTGGGGGAAAAGAAAAATCTAAAAATATAATTAAAAAAGTGGCTCACTCAGTTAAGTGTCTGCCTTCAGCTCAGGTCATGATCCCAGGGTCCTGGGATCGAGCCCCATGTGGGGCTCCTTGCTCAGCGGGGAGTCTGTTTCTCCCTCTGCTGCTCCCCCTGTTTGTGTTCTCTCTCTCTGTCAAATAAATAAATAACATCTTTAAAAAAAAAAAAAGAAAGAAAGAAACCAAGAGGATGAGGTGGATACCAATGGTGCTAAGAGAGGTCCACAAAACAGTATTAGAGAAACATCCTAATTTCTCTCTCTCTTTTTTAATATTTTATTTGAGACAGAGAGAGCACGAGCAGGGGAAGGGGCAGAGGGAGAGGAGAGGCATGAGCAGACTCCCCACATGGGGCTCAATCCTAGGACTCTGGGATCACGACCTGAGCCCAAGGCAGACATCCAGTGGACTGAGCCACCCAACGCCCCAGAAACGTCCCAATTTCTAAGGCATACCTTACGTATGCATGTGTGGATTGAAGGCTGCTGGACGGTTGCACAACAGAATTTCCGGACCCCCGTGTGGACTCTAGGAGGTTTCTGCGTGTGCACACACACCCTGAACACCCTTATTGACTGCATCTGCAGCTCTCGCAGCCCCACCCTCCTGAACCCCAGAAGAGCTGGGCCTCTGTCCAGGCCATTCCATCCTCTCCCTGACCAGATCTCAGCTCTGAGTTCCCTCCCCAAGTATTCCCTGAGTGAGTACCTGTTATGTGCTGGGCCCTGGGACGCAGCAGCGACAAGACAGTCACCAAATCCCTGACTTGGGAGTATGTGTCCTAGTGGGGCCACAGAACAGGCAGAACATGGTTTGTGCTGAGGAGAAAGGGGAAGTGGCCAGCAAGGGGCCCAGCTACATGGGAAAGCCAGCGTGCTCCATGGGCAGAACTAGGAAGAGAGGATGGAGGTCCCAAGTGAGGGGTCAGATTGCCCACTCAGGCCTCCCCCAAGCACCTACCTTCAGAAGTGACTTCTGGGGCCTCCTCACTGGCCCTCTGCTCATGCTGCCTTGGCCCAGGCTCCTTGTTGAAGGGGTTGAGGTGGGCCTGCCGGAACCGGGCCAGCTTCTCGTCATATTCCATAGCATCCCACCTGCAGGGCAGGGTAGGGCAGAGATGAGCATCCAGCTCCTAGACTCACTGCATTCCCATCCCCTCCCTGAGTTCCTGGGGTTCCAGAGGGGATGTCTGGCCTCCCTTAGTCCGCCAGGAGGGTCCAGGTGGAACATTCCCACACCACGGCCGCCCAACCTCTGTCCCTCCTCAAACCAACTCAGCCCCCTCACCCAGGTCCCCACTGGTAGCATCCCCTCAGTAACAGCAACCCACCCGGGGCATGCAGATGGAACAGAGGTAGGAGACGGACGCGACCTACCCAAGAGTACCCAGCCAGGCTGGAACCTAGGCCCCCTACCTCCCAGTACAAGGTCCTCATTCAGCCCCAGTCCAGCCCTCACTGCTCAGAAGGAAAGGGTTGGCGGCTCCCATGAGACAACACCTCCCAGGACGCAGTTCTCTACTTCTGGCCCCGAGCAGGGGTGCTCCTTTTCTAACAGAGCCCCCCAGAGTCATAGCCCCTGAGCAGAACCATCAGTAATGACTGTCAGAGGTCACAGTGCTGGACACTCTGGAGCCATTGCCAGGGTCCAGGCCTGCTCTGCCACCCGCAGTGTGGCCTTGAGCAGGGCCCATCTTCCTGGTGCCCCAGGGAGCTCTCCATCTCTGCCGCCTCGTTAGTCATCACGGAGGCCATGCTGGCCTGGATTCCCACTGATGCTCTATGTGGCCTGAGTCAGTGGCCCCAAACCTCGGGATCCCAGGAACTAGGAAATGCCTAGGTCACCACCTGGCACTGCTCTCCCCTCCCAAGAGCTCAGCGGGCAGCAGAACACACAGGCTGATGGCTCCTGAGAGGGAGAAAGGGGTTTTGATTGGGGGCAGTGGTTTGCATCCCAGGTCCTCCCACTTCCTTAGCCTCTCTGCTTCCAGGGTGACATGAGTTCATAGGAAATCAGATTTTTTTTTTTTAACACTTTGCAGCTCTTTGAGTGCCAGGTATTAGTTATGCTTTCTCTGTACCTGTTTAATCTAAAATAATTTGTGATTATCAAACACAAGCCTATGACTCCTATCTGCACCCCCTCCAAAAGAAAGAGAACTAATCCCAGATGGACAGCCATGACAAGGGTCACCCCCAGCCCTGCCCAGTGCTGGCTGCCCTGCATCTGGGTCAGAAACGCCCACACTAACTGTGGGACCTGTCTGACCTGTTTGGCCTCTGTGGTGGCGATGTGGGTTAGGGGAGTTCCAGTCTGGCAGAACCCAGCACCTGGGTCAACACAGGGGAGGACACAGATGCCATGGGCTATGGGCTTAAGCCTCCTCTCTCTCATTACCTGACAGCTTTGGGCAGCTCACTCAGGGTGGCTGGGCCCTGATGACCAGTGCCTCTCCAAATGACAGGTGTCACAGTGTCCTGGGAAGCACCCAGAGTGCAGGGCAGACCCAGCTGTGCCAGGACTCACTCACCCTATCTTCCCTAGTGGTGACAAAGATTCTTTGCCTGACCAGACTGTAATCAGGCTCCCGAACCTTCTCCTAGGCCATCTGGGCTCCTCCTGTAAAATCCAGTTCTAGCAAGAACCTTGCTACATCAGTTTAGCAAGAGTCCCCCACGCTGATACCCAGTCACCCTCAAATCTGCTATCACCCCCAGGTGACATCTGATCACCCCGGCCTACCCTCAGCAAAGATCTTGTCAGGTTGGTTTAGCCAGACTCCCCACTCGGCCCTGATGTATCCCCTCAGCAAGTGTCCACCCACTGATTTTACCCTGTTCCTTGGCTGTAAACTCTCACTTGCCCATGCTCTATTCTGAGCTGCACTCAGTTCCATACCGAGGTCTCTTTTCCCCTACTGCAGGAGTCTTCAATAAAATCTGCACTTACTATTTTAACAATGGTCCAGGTCTGTTTTTTCTTCTTTGACTGGGAGAGGGGAGCTGGACTTTTGGCTTGTCGCAATTTCCGAACCTCCCGATAGTTAGATGTGGTCATGCAACTACGTTATGACCAATGGATTTTAAACAGAAAGATCTCTTGCGAATTTTTCTTAAAAGGAGGCACTGCCCCTCTTCAGCTCTCCCCTCCTCTTGCCGCCTGGGATGCAGACTTAATGGGTGGAGCTGGAGTAGTCACCTTGGGTTTGACACAGAAGTCCTGAGCTCCTTCACCCCAGGCTTCGTTCAAGTGAGACAGAAATAAACTTCTGTTTAAACCACTCTTACTGGGAGAGGGATTTCTATCTCCTACATCTGAAACAGATCCTGACTGATCAACCCAAAAGCCTGGTGGTGATAAAATGAATTGGTGCTATTCAAATCCCAGATCTGTCAGCTCCTAGTTGACATGTACGGTCTTGGCCAAATGCCTAAACCTTTCTTTGCTTTTGATTTCTCATGTTTCAAATGGGGGAAATAACAGTACCACTGTGTAGGGTTATTATGAAGATTAAATTAGTTAATGCAAAGTTCCGAGTATCCTGGCCAGCACACAGTATGCACCTGATAAATATCAACTACAGCTTACTATTATCATTGTTACTAATGTGATCAGATAGCCCTGGGGAGCCTGGGTGGCTCAGTCGGTTAAGTGTCTGCCTTCGGCTCAGGTCATGATCCCAGAGCAGGGAGTCCGCTTCTCCCTCTCCCTCCACCTGCCACTCCTGCGTGTGCTATCACTCTCTGTCAGATAAATAAATAAAATCGCAAAAAAAAAAAAAAATCAGATAGCCGTGATTTAAATCCTGGGTCTCCCAGTGATGAGCTATGTGATCCTATTTTCTTGCCCACAAATAAGGAAAAATACCTACCTCCTAGGATGGGTAGAAGAACTAAGTATGTACTTATATATGTCAGGGGAGCCCATAGCCCAGAGTTGTTGCTAAGCAAGCCGTATCTGTCATCACATGATGACCAGCCCAACTCCAAGAAAACCTCCCTGCATTTCAAACTATGGCCAGAGATGCTTAAAGGCAGGGACACCTCTGCTCCTCCCAACAGCTCTCCTCTGGGCTGGAAGCTCCCCTGGAAAAAGCATCTTTCAATGGCCTCCTTATGGGCAGTGCCAGCTCCCTGGCACTGGCATAGAGGACATGGATGAATGACCTCTCTCAGCCTTAGTCTCTCCCCTGCCAAGCTGGAGAATCATACTTTCCTCTGGGTTTCTGAGGGCAGCAGACAAGTGAGGTCCCAACACTTAAGCCCAGGGGCTGCAGTACAAGGCAGCTAACTTGGCCCCGCCCCCCACTGCCCCACCAGGTTCACCCCTCAGAGAGCCCCACACTCAGATTCAGGTTGGGTCTCCGGGAGAACAGGAAGGAAGGTGAAGACAGAGGAATGAAGGAAACCCACGGTCCCACCTCTGCCCTCCTCTAGAGATTTCTCTTCTCTGGCAGGGGAAGAGAGGGGAGGAGGAGACAACTTAGCAATTCAAGGGAACTTCAGAATAAAGCCAGGGGCTCCTGAGGCACTGAAAGGTCCTGGGCTGAAGCTCAGGTGCATTCCTGGTGGGGCACAGCCACCAAAAAGGTTCTATTCTCACCCAGCCACAACTGGAGGTCCTTAGAATTCTCCCGGGAGGGGGCAGGGGAGAAGGTACATCCTATTTTCTCCTACCTGGAAGGAGGCCTGGCAGGACCGTGCGGGGAGCAGGGGCAGAGTTACTGCCCCTTTAAGGGTTATTTGCCACTGACTGAAGCCTGGCACAGTGGCCACGGCCGGCCTCAGGAGTGAGCCGCCCCTACGAGATACCCTCCAGCAGCTTCCCTCACAACAACAACAAGCACACCCTCTGGGACCCTCACCAACCCGCTCTGTGTAGGCGCGGGCCCCTTCCACCACGCCCATCCATGCCGTAGGGGAGGAAACTGAGGCCCAGCATTCCCGGAGGGTGGCCCAGCCCTGGGAGCTGCCGCGGGCCTCACGGATCCTACAGACAGCGCGTGTGGACGGCCGGAAGCGGTGACAGTGTCACCCGGGGAGCGGGGGGGGGGGGGGGGGGGGGAGGAGCCCCCCTCTGGGCTGATAAACCTGCCCGAGCGGGGTGGGAGGCAGCGCAGGTCCCCGGTGCCCTCCGCGCCCCAGGGAGGACCGGCAGGTCGGAACCCTGGGCTGGTTCCTCAGCCCCCGCGCTCTCGGGAGCGGGGGACTCCCCGCGCCCCGGGACGCGGCGGGCCCAGACGGCCCCCGAGGGTCGAGCATCCCGGTTCCCTCCAGCCCCAGCACCCCCGCCCCTCACCTGGCCCGCCCAGACTCCCCCCTCCGCCGCTCACCTGACCGCCGCCGCCCTCGCTACATTGTAACTCGCCCCGTCGCCCTCGCTACATTGTAGCGCGCCCGGCCGCCCGCTGCTGCCACCTGCGGCCCGGAGGCTCATGGCAAGCCGGGGTCCCCGCGTCTGCGCGCCCCGGCCCTCGCGCCCTGGCGGCCTCCGCGTCCCCCTCCGGGAAATGAGTGACACTTCATTCCAGCTGTTCATGACGGCCTGGCGGACTACTGCATTTTCTTTATTTTCTGTAAGCATAGAAGCCATGGTTTAAATAAAAACCACAACACTTAAGAGGAAAAATGGCTGGGGCGCCCGGGTAGCTCAGTCTGTTGAGCGTCTGCCTCCAGCTCCAGTTGTGATCCTGGGGTCCTGGGCTCGAGCCCCGCGTCAACTCCCTGCTTAGTGGGGAGCCTACTTCTCCCTCTGCTTGTGCTCTCTCCGCCTCTCTCTCTCGTAAAATAAATAAAATCTGAAAAGAAAAAATGGTGGTATTTAATTTCTCTTTTATTGTGGGCGCCTGGGTGGCTCAGTCGTTAAGCGTCTGCCTTCGGCCCAGGTCATGATCCCAGGGTGCTGGGATCGAGTCCCACATCGGGCTTCCCGCTCCGCGGGAACCTGCTTCTCCCTGTCCCACTCCCCCTGCTTGTGTTCCGTCTCTCTCTGTCAAATAAATAAATAAAATCTTTAAAAAAAAATTTTTTTTTAAAAAGCCCAGGGGCGCCTGGGTGGCTCAGTCGGTTAAGCGACTGCCTTCGGCTCAGGTCATGATCCTGGAGTCCCAGGATGGAGTCCTGCATCGGGCTCCCTGCTCAGCGGGGAGTCTGCTTCTCCCTCTGACCCTCCCCCCTCTCATGTGCTCTCTCTCTCTCATTCTTGCTCTCTCAAATCAATCAATAAATAAATCTTAAAAAAAATAAAACACATTAACTCAAAAAAAATAATAATAAAAATAAAAAGCCCAGTGGTTGAGGGGGGAAAAAGGGAAGAGGGAATGGCTGTGCAGACAGCAGCTGCTGGTGCTCATCTGCACGACCCTATGAGGTCTTCACTGCCGTTGAGCAAGGGACGTTGTCATTCTATCCCATCGTACAGAGGAGAAAACTGAGGCACAGTCCGCTTAGGGGAAGGATCAGGAGAGGATGGGTTAGGGGGATGTTGGAGAAGCCTGTGTCTGAAGCAGCTGGTATTATTACTGCTTTCCAGGTGTGCTCTGCCCCTGCTTTGTTTCTCTCCATATTCCTCACCACTGCCTGATGTCCTCTGCCTCATACAATTTTACTTGTTGTCTGTCTCCATCATCACCCCTCCCCCCACCAGAAACCAAGGGCTACAGGTGGGAGTTTTGTTTCTTTTCTTCACGGCTTCTTGCCTAGACTAGTGCCTGCACAAAGTAGGTGCTTAGTTACAAGGACTGCGGAAGAAGTCCCCGAGAGGGCCAGCCTTGAGAAGAAGAAGGGCTCAGCGGGCGGGTGTGTTAGCACCAACTATTGAACGGAGTCCGCGTCGGCCGCAGCTGGGTACTGTGACAGTGGTGAGAAGCCACACAGCACGCAAGGAGCCAGCCAGACGGACAGTATGCAAAGGTGCAATTTAACGAGAGATATGGTGAGCACCGAGGAAGAAATAAACAGGTGACAAGGTAATGGACAAGGTCAGGGGAGGAGAACACCATGCTCAGGCTAAGACCCAAAGGGTAAGAAGTTGAGACGCACAGAGGAGCTGTGGAAAAGCATCCAGAGGGAAACCACAAGTGCAAAGCCCTTGAGGAACTGAAAGAGCCCAGTGTGCCCGCGGAACCGAAAGCAGGCCTGTGTGGCCAGAGTTTGGTAAAAGTGGAAGACCAGTAAAAGGTGAAGTGAGGGGCAAAGCTGTAGTATTTGTAAACACATTGACTTTGATTTGTGCCAAGACAGGAGCTTTATTGAAGTCTAACAGACGTACAAAAAACCACACATGTGTAAGTGTACAATCTGATAAGTTTTGACATATGCCTACACCTGAGAAACTGACTAAGATTGTCAACCTATCCATCATCCTCAAATGTTTCCCTGTGCCCTTCTGCAATCCTCCCTCCCTGTCCCCAACTCTATCCCCAGGCAACCACAGATCTGTTTTTGGTCACTGTGTTGCACTGCATTCCAGAGTTTTATAGAGATGGGATCTTATCGTATGTACTCTTCTTTTGTTTGGCTTCTTTTAGTCAGAATAATATTTTGAGACTCTATCTGTAGCAGGTGTCAGGTGTCAGCTTATTCTCATTGCTGAGTAGGATTCCACGGAGTGGATGGACCACAGTTGGTTTATCCATTCACCTGTCGATGAACATCTGTGCTGTGGTCAGTGTTTGCTATTACAAAGAAAGCCACTATAAACATTTGCGTATAATTCTGTGTGGAAATATGCTTTAATTTCTCCTTGATAAATACTTAGGAGTGGAATGGCTGGATTATATGGTAAGTGTGTGTTTAACTTTCTAGGAATCTGTAAAACTTTTTCCCATGGTGGTTGCGCTGTTTCACATTCCCATTAGTGTGAACATTCTGGCCCCTCCATGTCCTCACAAACATTTGATGTCATCAGTCAGTCTCTCCACTAGAGGATTTTGAGCAGAGTAGTGGCATTATTTTTTTTAATTTTAAATTTTATTTTATTGTGGTAAGCACACTTAACATGAGATCTACCCTCTTAACAGATTTTTAAGTGTACCATATAGCATTGTTAACTATAGGCACAAATTGTATAGTAGCTCTCTAGAACTTATTCATCTTGCATAACTCAAACTGTTCTAGTTGATTAGCAATTCCTCCCTGCCCCCTGTCCCTGGAAACCACCGTTCTGCTCTTTGCTTCTGTGAGTTTGACTATTTTGCATAACTCACATGAGTGGTATCATCCAGTGTTTGTCTTTCTGAGTCTGGCTTATTTCATTTAGCATAATGTCCTCAAGGTTCATCCATGCTGTTGCATATTGTGGGATTTCCTTTTCTCATAAGGCTGATAGTATTCCACTGTATATACCAAATATTCTTTATCCATTCATCTGTCAACAAACATTTGGTTTGTTTCCGTATCTTGGCTATCGTGAATAATGCTGCAAGGCACATGGAAGTGCTAATATCTCTTTGAGATTCTGATGTCAATTATTTTATTTTTTATTACTTTTTAAAGATTTTATTTGTTTATTTGACAGAGACAGAGAGAGCACAAGGAGGGGGAGCAGCAGGGGGAGTGGGAGAGGGAGAAGCAGACTCCCTGCGGAGCAGGGAGCCCGATGCGGGACTCGATCCCAGGACCCTGGGATCATGACCTGAGCCGAAGTCAGACGCTTAACTGACTGAGCTGCCCAGGCACCTCTGATTTTAATTATTTTAGATAAAAAGCCAGAAGGGGGATTTTCGGATCAAATGATAGCTCTGTTTTTAATTTTTTAAAGTAACCTCCATACTGTTCTCCGTAGTCGCTGCACATTTTGCGTTCCCATAAACAATGTGCGAAGGTTCCAGTTTCTCCACATCATTACCAACACTTGTTGTTTTTTATTTTTCTGATAACAGCCATCCTAACAGGTATGAAATGGTATTTCATTGTGGCTTTGATTTGCATTTCCCTGATGATTAGTAACATTGAGCATCTTTTTAAAAAGTTTTTTTATTTGTTTATATTTATTTATTTATTTTAGTAATCTCTACACCCAGAGTGAGGCTCAAACTCCAAACCCCAAGGGGTGGTGGAATGCTGGCAATTCAGCCCCCAACCTCTTCCATTCAAACTGTAGCCCTACCACTGGCAGCTGGACACCCTGGGGTGGTTTCACTTGTCTCCTGCCTCAGTTTCTTCATCCGTAAGCACCTGCTTCCTAGGGTCACATAAGGAGCAAGCAAGTGGGTGAAGAGCTAGAAAACAACTGGTCCACAGAAAAGGCCCAGGTGCAGGGCTGCTAGGGGGCGCTAGGCTAGGATTACTGGATTTAGCAACGGAAGCATAATTGCTTACTGTAATCATGCCCCCAAGTGGAACATTATTTGTCGTTTATCTGAACTTCCAATTTAACTGGGCATCCTGTATTTGCTCTGGCAGCCCTACCTGAGCATGAAGTCATCTCCTAGCCCCTGAGCACCGCCGGCAGGGGACCAGGCAGTGGGTCAGGAAGGGGTAAGGCTTCTCCCCCATGAAGGCTGGGAATGTGCCCAGGTCTGGACACCCCTGGCCCTTCACCTAGGCTGAAATGGACAGGTGGAGCGGAGGGCGAAGCAGCCAATGAAGTGGCCGTCCTGAATGCCAGCCAAAAGGGTTGTCCACACTGGATGGTGCTGAGCCAATCAGAGCCCTTTTAGGAGGTTCAAGAGAGACTGAGCAGCCACTGAGCTGGCCTCTCCTATGCCCTCATGCCCATGCATCTCTGCAAACAAATTCCCTTTACTAATAATAACGGATCCATTTAAGAGCAAATATTTATGGCCTTTATTATGGGTCACATGCTGTTCTAGCCCCTCCCCATGTGTATTTCTATTTTCAGTTGCTGCATAACAAACCACTCTGAAATTCAATGGCATAAAGCAGCAGTCATTTCATTGGGCTTAGGGTTACTGGGGATCAGGGACACAGGTAGAGCCCAGGGCTGACTTGGGTCTGCCCCCCCAGTGTCTGAGATGGAGGGAATGAGGAGTGAAGATACACTGGTGGAAAACAGCAAAGACCTAAGTTACTCTTCACAAGAAAGTAAAGCGGGAGGCTCATGAGGGAAAACCCGCTGGCGGAGAGCGGGGTAGGCTGGGAAAGAAAGCATGAGGCCCCTGCTACAGAAGAACTCTGGGGGGCAGCAGAGATGAGCTCTGGGGAGGAGAGATGGACTGGGGGGCTGGAGGTGCTGGGGTCCCTCTCCTTCACCTCCCCACATCACCACCAACACAGTCCCCCCCAAAATGCACACCACACATTTGTATTAAGTTGCACTGTGGGCCTTGGGAGGAGGAAGGAGGGGATTGGCCTGACAGCCAACTCCACAAAGGCAGCGTGGCCCAGGGAGGCCAGGCTCATCTGAGTTCTGGTGGGTGCCAGTGCTCAGAAGGGAAGTACAATTTTTGGCCATTTTCAGCCAAACGGAGAGGTGCATAGCCATGGGCTGGACACCAGGATCTGCCACCTGTCAGCTGGAAAATGCCTTCACTTCTCTGAGCCTCCATTTCTTTTTTTTTTTTTTAAGATTTTATTTCTTTATTTGAGAGAGAGAGAACGAGAGATAGAGAGCACGAGAGGGAAGAGGGTCAGAGGGAGAAGCAGGCTCCCCGCTGAGCAGGGAGCCTGATGTGGGACTCAATCCTGGGACTCCAGGATCATGACCTGAGCTGAAGGCAGTCGCTTAAGCAACTGAGCCACCCAGGCGCCCCTGAGACTCCATTTCTTTGCCTATAAGATGTGTACCTCGTGGCATCATTGTGAAGGTTAAGCGAGATGTATGTGTTGAGCTCTCTGGAGAAGGCAGCTCTATCCACGTTAGTGGTGGGCCCCTTCCAGGCACCCACACAGTAAGACAGTGGACCTGGGGCCCAGTAGGAGCGTCTGTGAATGTCAAGGGCCAGACGGACCTTGGTCAACACTGGGCAGGTGTCTCAACTCTTTTGGGGCCTGGAAGCCTTGAGAACCTGAGCTGTAGGCACCACTGCCTGCCCTGTGTGGAGGACAGCAGCCCTGCGAGGCCCTGGTGGGTGTGATGTAGGCGCCTCTGCTGCAATCCAACCCTTCCTTGGTGGGGGGGACCCAGCTGCTGTGGCCCAGGGCAGGGAGCAAACCCCCACTCACCTGTGGCCTCGTCGGTCACTGCACGTGTAGGGTGGAAGGACATGGCCCTGAAGGTGGAGAACAAGTGTGGCCAGACACAGAGCAGGTGCCCAGAGCGTTGGCTTTTAGGACGTGCTTCTCCGCTGCTCAGGGGGCCCCAAAGCCCCCAAAGCCCAGCCTGTGTCAGGGCGAGAGCCCAAGACTTGGACCCTTTTGGGGGCTTCAGTTTCCTAGTCTACCTCAGGGCCAGTGGTCTCCTTGGCTTTCCTTCTTCTGCACAGAAGGCTGGGCGCCAGGGTGCTGCCTGCACTAAAGCCGCTTTGATGTCCCAGGTGGGGCTAGGCTGGACGAAACCCCTGGCTTCGAGGGACGGGGTGTGGGAAGGCTGCTTGGAGAAGGGTCTGGGGCCCAGTCCCCCTCCATCCACACTAGTGGTGGGCCCCTTCCAGGCGCCCGTGCAGTCGGACACAGGAAGGCCACCAGGGGGCGCACAGGGTCAGCACACAGCTCCCCGCCAGGGCGTGGCCAGCATGCGGCTCCCTGCCTGCCACCGGGGGCCACTGCTCACTAAGCCCCACCAGCCCCCTCCCAGGGCCCAAGGCCCAACTCTCCAACACACCACACTTTTCTGTGGAGGGTTCAAGGCCTCCCTTCCCACCTCTCCTTAGGGTCTCCAGGGGCCTGCCAGAGGAAAGCTCTGGAGCGAGTCTCCCTGTGGGGGACGAGGGATAGTTCTCAAGTCCAGGGCAAGCTGCACCTGTGGTTCTGGGATGAGGCTTCATCTAGGCATGGCCCAACCCCAGGACACAACTTCCGGAAGCTCCCAGCAGCTGTGCCTTCAGAACCCACAGGCTCTAAGCACAGCCACCAGCCTGGGAGACAATGACCCTTCCTCCCCCCCACCCCCCTCCCAGGGCCTCCCTGTCTGTCCCTCCTCACCCCTCTGGACCCCACCTTCCAGAATAAAAAGAAATCTCCAGCACCAGGCAGGGATATCTGACAGCAATAAATTTATTAAGTATCCCCCCTCAAAATATAAACACAAACCAGTAAAAAAAAAACAAAAGAAAACAAAACAAACCATAAAACAGGCCTGGAGCTGACAATAAAGCAGACACAGAAGTGGACCTGACCTATGGAGGGAAGACAGGACTCACGTGGGGTGGGGATGCCGTAAATACTGGAGGACAGACACTCGGGAGCCCTGGGGTGCCGTGACCGGAGCTGGCGGGGGCGAGGCTGGGGGTGGTGTCAGTGGCGACATGGCTCTGGGGGACAGGCCTCTTGGCCACGGCCGCAGCCTGGCTCCGCCACTCCAGCGGCTTCATTTGGGGCCCTGAGCCTCGGACTCCTCCTCATCGTCTTCGTACATCTCGCCCTCCTCCTCGGCCGTGGCGTCCTGGTACTGCTGGTACTCGGACACCAGGTCGTTCATGTTGCTCTCGGCCTCGGTGAACTCCATCTCGTCCATGCCCTCGCCCGTGTACCAGTGCAGGAAGGCCTTGCGCCGGAACATGGCGGTGAACTGCTCCGAGATGCGCTTGAACAGCTCCTGGATGGCCGTGCTGTTGCCGATGAAGGTGGAGGACATCTTGAGCCCCCGGGGTGGGATGTCGCACACGGCCACCTTCACGTTGTTGGGGATCCACTCCACGAAGTAGCTGCTGTTCTTGCTCTGGATGGCCAGCATCTGCTCGTCCACCTCCTTCATGGACATGCGCCCGCGGAAGACGGTGGCCACCGTCAGGTAGCGGCCATGGCGCGGGTCGCAGGCGGCCATCATGTTCTTGGCGTCGAACATCTGCTGGGTGAGCTCGGGCACCGTGAGCGCGCGGTACTGCTGGCTGCCCCTGGCGGTGAGCGGTGCGAAGCCGGGCATGAAGAAGTGCAGGCGCGGGAAGGGCACCATGTTCACGGCCAGCTTTCGCAGGTCAGCGTTGAGCTGGCCGGGGAAGCGGAGGGAAGTGGTGACGCCGCTCATGGTGGCCGACACCAGATGGTTGAGGTCTCCGTAGGTGGGCGTGGCCAGCTTGAGGGTGCGGAAGCAGATGTCGTACAGGGCCTCGTTGTCGATGCAGTAGGTCTCGTCCGTGTTCTCCACCAGCTGGTGGATGGACAGCGTGGCGTTGTAGGGCTCCACCACCGTGTCCGACACCTTGGGCGAGGGCACCACGCTGAAGGTGTTCATGATGCGGTCAGGGTACTCCTCACGCACCTTGCTGATGAGCAGCGTGCCCATGCCCGAGCCCGTGCCCCCACCGAGAGAGTGGGTCAGCTGGAAGCCCTGCAGGCAGTCGCAATTCTCACACTCCTTCCGCACCACGTCCAGGACGGAGTCCACCAGCTCAGCACCTTCCGTGTAGTGACCCTTGGCCCAGTTGTTGCCGGCCCCGCTCTGACCTGTGGGGGTGCAGGGGCAGCAGAAGGGGTCACAAACTAGTCAGACCTACAGTGCCTGCCCGAACAGGGGCCACCCCAGAGATCAACTGTGGAAGCTCTGTGAAGTGAGGGTGCCCACACCTTCTCACTCCCTCCATGACCCTCCACGCCAGCCATGCTGCGGGTGGTGGACCCCACTGCCTGGTGCCGGGTGATAAGGGCTCTGGGCAGGAATTGAGAACCTGGCTTTGCCTCCCTTGGGGGGTTCTGGGTGAGTCTACCAGCCCTCGCCTCCAGCCACCGACTGGCCATGCTGGAAGTGCCAACTACGGCCCCCAGAACCCCAGAATCCCTTGCCGCTTGGGGTCTGAATGTGGACTGGTTCCCATCAATTGGGGTGCTGAGCTCCAGAAGACAGAAATGGGGTGATGCCCTCTTGATGACAGCAGTGCTGTGTGCCCATGAACTTGAATCCTCTGGAGACCGACTCCTGTCTTGCCAGCTCTGTAACAATCCCGTAAGCTCAATTCTCTGTTTCACGCATTGTTCTGCCCTGTCCAGAACCCTTCCTCTGGGCCTCTGTTGCCAAATGCAGAACGGGAAGGTCAGTTCTGTCCTGCTAAGGGGTGACTTTGCCCTGTCGTTTCTGCTGATCTGGATTTGCCCATGATGGGGTCTGCCTCAGAGTGTGGGACAAGGGAAACTTACCGAAGATGAAGTTGTCAGGCCTGAAAAGGTGCCCAAAGGCCCCAGACCGGACGCTGTCCATGGTTCCGGGCTCAAGGTCCACCAGAATGGCCCGAGGCACATACTTATGAGCTGAGGGGAAAGGGGTGGGTTATGCGGGTCACAGAGGGTCAGGGGCTCCTCCTGCCCTCTAAATCCTGCCCTGGCCTGCCAGAGTCATGCTGTCACCATAAGCGCTCAGACTCTGGGGTCAGGGAGGCTGGAACCACGTGTGAAATGGGGATCATGGTCAACACCCTAGACAGCCAGGACCACAGAATACATCCACGGGGGCAGGTTAATATTTCTCCAGTTCACTATGGACATCATCTTATACCAGGGGCTAAGTGGCCCCCACTCTGGACCCTCCCATGGGCTTCCTGAGGAGCCTCCAGGACACTGCCCAGCCCTGTCCATCCCCTAGACTATGCAGGTGTCATGTGAGGATTACACATGTTTGAATCTCACTACGGTGGCAGTTTCTAGGGTTCCTCATCTTTGTTTTGTGAGTCTTGGGTTACACCTGCCAACCAACTGATAGGAGGGCAGAGATGCTGAGATTCAGCAGTGAAGGCGCCCTCTCCTCCCTCCTCCCAGATCAAGCATGGGGGCAGGGTGGGAGCTCACAAGAGGCCTCGTTGTAGTAGACGCTGATGCGCTCCAGCTGCAGGTCTGAGTCCCCCACATAGTTGCCACTGGGGTCTATACCGTGCTCGTCACTGATGACCTCCCAGAACTGCAGGGGGGAAAGGAAGGGTCAGCAGGTGCTTATGACCCCCACCAGGGCTTCCCTCCCGTGAACTCAGCCCTGGGTGTCAAATTAGGGGCCTGGACTCAAAGCTTGCACTAGCCCCTTTGAGTGACTTCAGAGAAAAGCCCCAGGCTCTGTCATCTGTCAGAAAATTATCATAGTAGGGGTGCCTGGGTGGCTCAGTCGTTAAGCGTCTGCCTGCAGCTCAGGTCATGGTCCCAGGGTCCTGGGATCGAGCCCCGTATCGGGCTCCCTGCTCAGCCGGAAGCATGCTTCTCCCTCTCCCACTCCCCCTGCTTGTGTTCCCTCTCTCGCTGTGTCTCTCTCTGTCAAATAAATAAATAAAATCTTAAAAAAAAAAAAGAAAGAAAATTATCATAGTAAATATGCACATCCACTGTCTGTACGTTCGTGGTGCCTGGCGCCCTCAGAGTGGTTCAGGGCTCAGATGACACAGACCCAGGCCCCCCAGACTCAGCTCTGCACTTGCTGACCAGGAGCCCTGGACAGTCCACTCCTCCATGAGGGGTTAGTAATAAACACCCTCCTGGGGTGGTTTTCTTTAGTCTCTCTTTTCAGATGAAAGAACCAAGGCACGGAGAAGGCAAAGAGCTGCTTACAGTAAGTGACAGAGACAGAGCCCAGGATACATGTGCCCCCTCAGTGTCCGGGCAAGAGATGTCCAGAGATAGGGTCTGGCAGGGTCCAGCACATCATCAGCCTCAGCCAATGGGAACCACAGGGAGCCTGAGTGGGGAATGACTTGCCTGGTTCACCCAGCCTGTCCTCAAAGAGCTGGCACAGCCCAGACTCCCAGGGTTCACTCTCTCTACCACCTGCTGCCACCCACCCCACTCCCCCTAGGGCTGGGATATACAGCGCTTCTCAAAATCTGCTCCCAGGGCGCCTGGGTGGCTCAGATGGTTAAGCGTTTGCCTTCGGCTCAGGTCATGATCCCAGGGTCCTGGGATCGAGTCCCACATTGGGCTCCCTACTAGGCAGGGAGCCTGCTTCTCCCTCTGCCTCTGCCTCTCTCTCTCTCTCTCTGCCTCTCATGAATACTACAAAAAAAAAAAAAAAAAGTCTGCTCCCAGAGCACAAAAGCACAGAGCAGGGCCTACATTCAGGAGCTAGACCACCTCTTCCCAGCTGTGTGACCCTGGGCAGGTCCTGAAGATTCTCTGTGCCTCAGGGTCCTCATCTGTTCAATAGGCCTGATGGTGAAACAAGTCTTTGTGGGAATAAAGCGAGCTGATCATGGGAAGCATGTGAATGCGTGCATATATGTCAGCACACAAAGACACATCCCTTGGGTGAAGGGAAGGCTGCACAGAGCTGGGCCCTCACCCCAAGGGCATTTCCAAGCTGTGTGGAGCACAGTGGGCCCATGCAGGGAGGGTCATTAGTCACACTCTGCGTGACTTCCCAGTGCCCCTCCCCTTTGCTCCTCAGGGTTGGAGTGACTTTCAGAAGATGAATGGTATGAAAGCCTCAAGAAATAACAGGACTCTACATAGGAGTCATGTGTTGGCAAAAAGACGGCTCCATGAAAAAAGCAGTTAGAATCCAGTTTTCACATATTTATCTATATATAGATATCTCTAACAGACACAGAGGTGTCCGTTCCAGGGAACTGGGCCTGGGAATGTGGGTCTGGGTTGGGGTAAAGTTCTTCTCACTGTATACTCTTTGGCTCTTTTGGAATTGTCACATGTTAATTTCTAAACAATAACAAAAGGTTAGTTGGAAAATATTTTTTAAAAACTCTGGTAATTAGAGGCGCCTGGGTGGCTCAGTTGGTTAAGCGTCTGCCTTTGGCTCAGGTTGTGATCCCGGGGTCCCCGCATTAGGGCTCCTTGCTCAGGGGGAATCTGCCTCTCCTTCGGCCTCTGAACTCCCCCCCTACCTTGTGCTCTCATTTACTCTCTCTGTCTTCCTCAAATTAATAAAAAAAATATTTTTAAATAAATAAAAAATTAAAACTGATCATTATCAAGTATTATCATTATTATAAAATGCCTAGAAAAGTCTTGGCAGTTCATCCAGAGAGGCTGTTATCAGAGGTCGTCACTCAGCGAGGGTAGGGGATTTACTCCCCGTTTTGTCATTGTTAAGTGTTCGTTTTACGTTGTGTGTGTTAATTTTGTAATTAGAAAAAATAAACACATAGAAATGTCACTGAGGCATCTGGGGCCTGATCAGAGCTTCCTACCACTGCTTGGATCTTCACGGCCTCCTCAGCCCGAGGACTGCATGAAAGCGGGAGCTAGGGTCTTGGCCTCCAGAGCTCTGAGACACCCCAGACCTCTGGTTTCAGGGACACCACAGCCCCTGCAGAGGAGTGATGAGCTTGAGACAGCAAGTGTGGGGCCAGGAGGGAGTGAGTCAGTGACCCTGCCATCAACACATCTACAGAGAGTTATTGAAGATGCATCTCTGGAAAGCATGGTCCTCCAGGAGGTGATGGACAAGATACCAGCACCAGTCAGTGTGTGCCAGTGACTCTCCTGAGACCTCAGTTTTCTCATCTGTAAAGTGGACATGATAATAGAATCCTCCTTAAGGGGTTAACACAAGGTTTGATGCATTCAGCAAATAGTGGCTTCATTGAGTCAAAAGGTTAGATGCTATTTAAATCTGTAAAGCCATATGCACAGATAACAAAAATAAGTTTTAAAAAATCAATATACTTTGGGATACTGTGGTGCAGTAAAATATCGTCATTGATATGAGCACAACCCCGAGACACATCCTTGAGGGAAAGGCACACTGCATAATGATATGTAGAGTAAAAAAGGAAACCTCAAAAAGATGTTACATTTTTCTACAAAGATATATATAGAGAGAGATGCACATGCACAGAAAAGAGGCTGGAAGAATTGAAAACAAAACTGTCCCCGTAGGAGAGCAGGACCTAGGGGCATGAGGTGGCTAAATGGGTACTTCAGCCTTATCTGCTATGTCTCAACTTTTTAGAAGAATATATTAATTGCTTTTATGGTTAAAACTAATAAAAATGTGACTTATAATAAGTGTATTAGTAAAATATATTATGTAATATTTAATCAGTAATAAAACACAACTTTGTAAATTAAAGAAGAAATACTCATGACCATCGCTGCAGTTGAGAAAACTGCCAGATGGCGCGTGGACCCAGTGGCCTTGGCGCCTACATCGAACCCCGCCCCCCCCGCCGCGCCCTCCGCGCTGTCCGTGGTGCTGATCCTTGTCCTCGCTCCGCGGCCCGGGAGGCGTCGGTACCGCAAGTGGGGGGACGCGGCTCCGCGGAGGGAGGGCTTGCCGACTCACAAGTGTTAAACCCTTTCAGGACCTCGAAGCCCCTCCCCACCCCGAGCACAGCGAGTGCTACAGTGACCCATTTAGGAGGCGGGTTCAGAGAAAACAGGAAATCCCTCCCCCCATTGGCGGTCAGGGCCAGGGCCCGCCCCTCCGAGGCTCCGCCCAGCGGCCGAGAGAAGGGGGCGCAGACAAAGGCTCCCGGATGGCCCTGCACCCCACAGGAGAAGGATGGGGTCCCCGGATTCATTCGCCCGTTGTGTGGCGGCGGTGGGAGGGGGCGTCCCCGCTCACCCTAATGGATCCGAGCAGACCTTAGACTCCGACCCCTGCCCTGTCCCTCCTGGGCGGTGCCTCCACTTCCCGGAGCGACCCCTGGGGGAAGGGCGATCCCCTATCTCACCTCACGTCTTGGAGGCGATGGGCCTGAACACCAGGCACAGTGGTCAATACGCAGCGATCGTGATCTTTGTCGTGAGGGTAATGCCGGCAAGCTACCGCTCAGGAGAGGTGTGTTCTCTCCTGGCCCCAATCGCCCTGGCCCCTCTCCATCCCCCGCAGCCAGGCCTCTCGCTAGAGCAGCCGCCCTTGCCCATCGGCCAGTCGCTGCTGGTGATGGGAAGCAAAAGTTCGTCCGCCCCCCTCACCAGGGCGCCCACAGCCACTATGGGATCAGGAGACAGAAACGGCCAATGAATTGCCTGTCCACAGGGCAGACGGCAGCATCGGCTGGGCCTGGCCCGGGGGCTTTGAGCACTTTCTTGATTTGGGTCCCTGGAGACTTTCGAGGACAAGGAAGCCAGAGGGAAGCTGCTCAACTGCTGTCATTGGTCACCAAAAAAGGCAGAGGCGGAAGAGAAAGAAACAGCTCCTCTCCCCACAAAATCCACCTCTCTCTGGTTTGAATTGTTAGAAAGGATCAGATACTAATTTTTAAAACAACATGAAGTAAGAAAATCAACCCAAAGGGAATAAAAAATAATGAGCAAACCCAGGAGGCCACACCTCTAAGAAGCAGGAAAAAAAATCTCAGCCAAGGACACTTGTCCAGCACTCAGGCGAGTGGCTCTGCCTTCCTCCCTCCCCCTCCTGCCATCCCCCCCAGCCCTCCCCCCACCGCAGCTACAGCTCGGGGCGTGGACTTGCCTTTGCTTGATATCTGTCTGTCCAGTCCATAAAGAGGAGGGGTGTATAACCAGATCACCACTCCCCCAGGCTCAGGCAGAACTTAGGGCTGCCCTCCCTCCCCCCAGTGACCCCTGACCCTCTGAGGAGCAGATGTTCAGGGCAGGCCTGGCCCCTGTGACCACATTAATGAGCCCTCCGCCCCTCCCACATGGCCAGGGCAGCTGTCAGCGACTGCCCCGGGAGTCCTGATTTGATTTGAGGCCATCATCCCCCAGGCTTCCCCCTCCCCCATCCCCCTTCCTGGGGCAGGCACAGCTGTTTCTTTGGGTGATTAGGGAGTCTCCCTGGTACCACCCCTCCACCCCGTCCAAGTCGCCTCCACCCTAGAGAAGAAGTTGCAATTTATATGTCAGCCACGAGGCTGCCCCAGCGGCGTTGTAATTAGCTTTTTGTTCTTGCCTGGTTTCCATGGCAACAGCCTCCAGAGGAACCCCTTCCTAGGCCCCTTCACCTCCAAGACCTGTCTCCTCCCACTGCCTCCTTTGGAAAACCCGCCCTGCACCACTCCCGCCCTGTGTCCCTGGCCTTGGTCCTGACAAAGGCACCCCTGTTCCCCTGTTTTGTTCTGTGGGGTGCCCCAGGGTGCAGCAGGCCCCACCCACCTAGCCTGAGCCCTGGGCTGGACATCTGCAGGGACTGAGAGCCAGAGGGTAGCGTGGCTCTGTCTCCCACTTGCTGCGTGACCTTGAGCAAGGGACAGTCTCCCTGGAGTTGGGGACGTGACACCTGTCTCCTAGGTTCCAGTGGGGATTAACCACCTCCTCCTCCCCTTAGTTCCAACATCTTCGAGGTGGGCTAACAATGGAGGGGAGGAGCCGGGTGGTGATGCAGCTCTCCATCCCAGGAGCCGGGCTTTGTTCCCAACATCCCACCCCCAGACTCCACAGTCCCTGGGTGGGTGCTGTCCAAACCCACGGGAGGTTTGCCCAGGCTGGGCTGAGCTGGAGGGAGAGTCCAGTCCTGGACCAAGGTCACCCTGAGTCTGGGCCCAACCCCTCCCCCAACAAAGGAATAGGGTGGGGTCAGGAAGCTGAGCAGCGAGGTTGGGGGCATAGGGGTGGCTCTGGCGGCTTGGAGGACATCCTGCTCCTGGGGGCAGCGGGAGCAGGGCAGACAGAATCGTTTCGGCTTTGAAGGGGACGCCCCACCCAAACCTGCCCACCCCACCCATCTCGCTCAAGGCTGAGTTGCGACCCCAAAGAAGAGGGCCACGCCCAGACAGCCCCCACAGCTGCAGCCGCTGTGGATGGAGCTCAGCCGCCAACCTGCGCGGCGCTCCCGCAAGCCTGAGGTAACCCGGGCAGGGACAGAGAGAAGGCGATGTGGATGTGGCAGGGCAGGGACCCCGGTGTCCCGGCTGCCCGGCGCGGGGCCCTGCTCGTCCCTTTGTTCCTGGCTTCGCAGCGGCAAGTGCAGCTCGGGGTGCGGCGCCTCCCTGCTTCCCTCCCTCCGGGGCCGGGCTGTGGGTGGGGAGGCGGGGTGCGCGGCGGTGTCAGGGCCCGGGGCCGGGGCGGGGGCGGGGGGGTTGGCGCGCGTCCTCACCTTGGCCCCGATCTGGTTGCCGCACTGGCCGGCCTGAATGTGCACGATCTCCCTCATGCTCGGTGCGTGCGGCGGGCGGCTGCGGGACACGCGCGTACAGGCCGGGGCTGGCTGCGGAGGGTCGGCCGCCCCCGCCGCCCGCTCTTATAGGCCGGGCCCCGCCCGCAGCGCCCGGCCTGGCGTCACCGCGCGCGGCCAATCCGGGGACGCCGCCGCAGAATGCAGCACCGGCCCTGCAGCATCAGCACCGCGCATCCCCGCTCCGCCGCGCGACGCGCCGCCTCCGCGCGCCGCCTCCTCCCGCCGCCACCAGGATCTGGGGGGCCCGCGGGGCGGGGGCGGGAGTCTGGGGGCCCCCGCATACTGGAGGGAGGGGCTGGCGGGCTCCAGGGAGGACAATAGAAGCCGCTCTTGGCTCTCGGACCCCGCCCAGGCTGCCCTCTCGGGTCCCACCGCTGCGGCAGCCCCACCCCACGGCTTTGCAAGGACAGTTTTTCTTCCCCACACCCGTTCAGGGACCAGCCCCATGTTCCCACCCCAAAGACCGAGATGGACGCCTCTCAGCTCCCTATCTTGTGGCATGAAGGGACAAACAAGGTACTCTAGCAGGGGTGGGGCAGGCAGGAAAATGCTGCAGCAGGCACCGAGCCCTCCAGAAGAAAGCATGGGGCAGGGCTCAGAAACGCCGAGTCAGAAGGAGGGTGGGCTACAAGGGCAGCTCTGAGCTTCACGGTCTTTCTCTGCAGTGGGGGATGCCAGGTACCTGACCCTCCTCCCTCGGGGGGCTGCCATGAGATTCCAAATGGACCTGGTACATGGGGATGCTTTGTACCCCTGCCAGCCACAGTGCCTGGTACGTAGCTGCTGCTCAGTGAATACTGGTGTCAGGAATTATCAAAAGGACACAAGCCAGGCGAGGGACTGACAGGGTGGGGAATGGTGGGCAGTGATTTCTGTCTGATTCACGTCCTGGTGTCACCTGGACTCCTGGTCCACGTGAGGCCAATACAACATGGTGGTAGGGGCCATGTAGTGAGACAGTGTGCGCCTAAGGCAGAGATGGGGGATTCTTGGAGGCAAACGGGGAGAGGGTCCACTGGTCAGAAGAGAAAGGAGGGTATGAAGTGGACATGCAGTACAGACATTATATTACACATACAGAATACCACCAGCTAAATATTCTACTGGGGTCAGACACTGTAGTGAAACCACCTTACAATAAGGTCCTTCTGATACTTCAGTAACAAAATCTTCCAGGAAGGGTCTTGGTCACAGTGCGTGGAGGTCCCACAAGCAGTCGGCTGAACAGGTCTGTGGTGTGCCTGTGTCTAGCTGCGCTCAAGAGTGCATTGACAGGGTGTGGCTGTGCATAAGCCCCTCTTCCCCCCCCACCCTGAAGCTCTCCAGTTTGGCTAGTCTAGAAATGGGTCTTTTGTTCTCAAGAGACACCCCTCCCCCACAATGTGTCCGTGATGTGGCTTTCTGTGGTTGGCTTCCGGCTGCCTGGGGCCCCTCCCTGTCCCCATTCAGGGGGTCCTTGGTGAGCATTTGGCTCTTCCCCGGAGCTGGCTGCATCTCCCCGACTGAGCAAAGGAAGAAGCTTTGCAGCATCCCGGTGGCCAAGACCCATGACCCACATGCCCTGCCTCCCCGCGTGATGGCGTCAGGCCAGGCTGCTCTCCCTCCCTCCCCAGAGGGCTCTGGTGCCAGGTTCAAGGCTGACTCACCGTCCTGTCTCCCCCGCAAAGGCTAGCCCTGCCGGGAACCAGCTCCTGGCCTTGAGGTCAGCAGTCTGGGCTGAAGCTGCCAGCATGGGTGGGGACTGGCTGGGGCACAGTTGGGGGTGGCTGGCCAATGGCTGCCGAAAACTTTAGGCATTACTAGACCTGCCTTCAAATTGGCTGATACCATCACCCTTGCCACTGCCAAACCTGTATCAGGAAGGCGGTCGACTGTACACTCAGTATCTGTGGAGGAAACCAGGTGGGCTCTTCAGTGAGAAACCCAGGTTTGCAACGGGGGGGGGGGGGGGGGGAGACCCAAGGGCTTCCCGGCACCAGCAGCAGGGCTCACCCCAGATGTCCACTCCTTCAGGGCTTGGGCTTGGACAGTCCCTGGACAGCCCCACTCCATTCTGGGAGGCCTTGCCCCAAAATACTTCCCAGGAGGGCTGTCCTGGGGGAGAGCAGACCCCACCCCCCAGCACACTCTGCACTGCGGGCAGACATGGAGGAGGGGCAGCATGACTGGGCTGTGAGAGGCATGTGCTCAGGCTGAGGTCACATATGGGTCACGGTGGTCCTGCTTCTGCTGCAGGTAAGGGCACCCTGTGCCAAGTCGGGTCCCCACAGAGGTCACTGGGGCGGGGCAGCTGCTGTTTCTCACTCTAGGTGCTCTGAGCTGGGGTTTACACCACGAGGAGAAAGCGAAGACACAGGCCCAGAGCAGGTGTCATTGGGGCCCCCACACTCTTCCCTTGGGCAGCGCCTCGGGCACTCTGGGTCCTTTGGGGCTGTGGCTTCTTCACCTGGGCCGGCCAGCCATGGTTTCTGGCTGGTTTCTGGGATTCGCTTCTCCCTGTCCATCACCCTCAACCCCACCCTTGCCCCTCCCCCTTCCTCCTCCCTCCAGGCTCGAGCAATTTCCGGAAGGAGGCAAGGCGGGCGGCGATGAGTCTGCACCAAGCACAGCATTTATTACCAGAATGCTTCCCAGCCCTGAGACCCTGGACACCGGCTTCTGATTCCGGCCGACAGCCTCTGCGCTGGCCCAAGCAGGCACTGGCCAGCCCTGTCTGCCGGGAACGTGCGGCACACACGGTTGGGCCCCCAGCTCTCTGGTCACCACTGAGCCTTAGACCGGCGCCCCCCTCCACCGTAGCCCCAGGAGACATGGTCCCTCTGCCTGAAACAGGAGCTCACTGCTTCCTGGAGCAGTCCTGGGAGGCCAGGTCTTGCCGGTCACAAAAGCCCTCTTCCTGAGGCCCTCCTGGGGAGCAGTACTTGTCATGCTTGCAACACAGAGACTTCACATCCCAACAGGCAGGGGCACAAATCCCCAGACCCGGCAGCAGAGGTGGGTGTGTGCACAGCTTGCAGGGGCCCTAGGTGGAGGCGCAGCTCTCCGGGAGTGGGCAGAGATGCTGCCCAGAAGCCCGGCACCTGCCCCTCGTGCCTGCAGCCCCACCATCTCCCCAGCCTCCTGCACTCTCCACGGCAACTCCTGGAGATGGGTGCTTCTTCCCCTCTCCGGCCCCAGAGGGTCCATGCATCCACACCTCCGGAGATCATCTTGTCTGTCCTTTTTGGCAAGCAACTGCCCTGCTCGCACAGGCCACATGGCATCACCAGCTCCCTCTGCCCAGCATCGTGGCCTTGAGCTTGCAGCCTCACCAGGAGCAGAGCACTACCTCTTGGAGGGTCTTTCGGAGCTCCTGGCTGCGGAAGGCGTAGATGAGGGGGTCAACGATGGAGTTGCAGATGATGAGGGTGAGGAAGAGATTGAAGTTCTTGAAGACGCAGCCACAGACGGGGTGTTGAGGGCAGAGGACCATGAGTGAGAGGTGCAGGAAGAAGGGGCCCCAGCAGAGGAAGAACATGCCCAGCAGGATGGTGAGCGTGGCGGCACCCTTGAGGCCAAAGCCCTGGTGGGCGGGGCGCTGCCTCTTCTGGAGCCGGGCGATGCCTCGGGCATGCTGGCAGGCCCGGGCGAGCATGTGCACGTACAGCACCGCCATGAGCACCAGCATGGCTACAAAGAAGCCGACGAGACAAAGCAGCACGGCCGCGTGGTCGTAATAGGCAATGACGAGCGTGCTGGAGAGGACGCTCGCCACCCATATGGCGGAGATGGCCCAGCACGCACGGGGCAGCGTGACGATGCTGTGGTACCGCAGCGCGTAGAAGATGGAGATGTAGCGGTCCACGGCGATGGCGCCCAGGAAGCAGAGACTGGACACCATCGCGCCGCAGACGAGCACGTCAGTGACATCGTCCAGCTGCTGCACCGCAGCCGCCTGGGTGGCCAGGGCGCCGGCCTCCAGCAGCAGCATGACCGCCGTCTCCAGCACATTGCTCACGCTCACCAGCAGGTCGGACACAGCCAGGCAGCAGATGAAGTAATACATGGGCGAGTGCAGGTTGCGGTTCTTGGCGATGGCGGCCACCACCAGCACGTTCTCCACCACGCTCACCAGCCCCAGGCTGAGGAAGAGCCCGTCAGGAACGGACACCTCCAGGCACCGGGGCCCCGTCTGGTTGGCAGCCAGCCTGAGGTGAGGGGTGGCTGGGGGGGTGCAGTTGAAGGAGCCCAGCAGCCTCCTCTGGGGACCCTGCATAGACATAGTCCCACCAGGGAGCAGGAAGGAGTCCTCACTCTCAGGCGTCCCGCTCAGCTCATGGTGCCACCAGCAGGGCTTGTGTCCCCCGGATCGCCCTCACATTCACCCTCTCCCTGTCAGCTCAGCCATGACCCAGCTGAAGAGACCCCAGCTTCCCGCCAGGGTGGTCGCTTCCCAGCCAGGACCCCAAGCTCCCTTGCACCAACCCTGTAAGTCTCTCCGGACCCCAGACCCTCAGCCCACCTCCCCACCTCTCGTAGAGGTGCCGTTGCTCAGGTCCAGACATGCATTTCTATGCCGCTTGCAGCCTCGTGGCTGGCCAGGCCGCCTGCTTCTCCAGGCCTGGGGTGGGCTGAGGTCCCAGGAAGAATGAAGCTTTAAAGTCCCCGGAGCCCCTCCTCCTGAGGGTGGCCACATGATGGGCGTGCACCCTGGATGCACAATCAGAGAGCACCCGCGCATGGCACCCCAGCCAGCCTTCCTCTGGGCAGCACAAACGACAGCCAGGGCTGTACTGGCTCCAAGGACACCTGACTCGGGCTCAGCAGGGCGCCTCCCCTCTCACCCGTGCTCAGCCAACCAGCGCTCCCAGCCTGGCCCCACTCCCAGGGTCTGCCTATGTGGGGGCCTCCTCTAAATCTGCTCCAGGCCCCCTGCAAACACCACCTCCTCCTTGGAGCTGTCTCTAATCTCCAGCCACCCACCCGATGCCACTCTGCCTTGGGGACAGTCGTTGGCTGTTGACCATGCACCCCCAGCCTGAACCCCTAGCTCCCTACCCCATGTTAGATGCTCGCTAAGGGCAGCCCCCGCCCCCTAGGACACTCAGCCCCCTCGCGGAGCCCTGTGGGAGGGCATCCTGGTCACACCAGGCTCTTGCTCTGCCTCATCCTCCGTGGGGGGAGGGGCAGGGACAGAGCTGACAGCCCCCACTTCCTCTACAGAGAAACCACTTCAAGGGCAGACCTCTGTCTCCAGCCTATGGTGCACGCCAAGAATGGTCTCGCTCCAGGGTGCTCCCAGCACTTTCTCGCTGAAGACTCAAGTTCCTCCTCTAAAGAGCAGAGGTGGGAGGAGAACAGAACGGTTTGCGGACAGGGGGAGACAACCTGAGGCAACAAGAAAGGTAAGGGCCTTGTTCGGTGGTGGCAGCAGGGCTGGGAGCTGGCGGGGGGGGGGTCTCAGTGTTGAGTGTTATCTGTGACATTCCTGTCCGAGCCCACTTTCTCTCCCCCACCCGACTGCCAGGCGGCCCACGTGTCATCACACATTGGTGCCCACTTACAAATATTAATCATCACTTATATCTGCCTCACCCCACTGACAAGCTGCCCCCCCCCCGATTGTGCTTTTTATTGAAGAACATCATACATGAGAGTACACGAGTTGTAAATCTGCAGGTTAGTGAATGCACCAACCTAAACACAGCCAGGAAGGCAGCACCCAGACCAATCACAAAAACATTAAATGCCCCAGAACAGCTAGGGCGTCCTTCTGCCCTGGGAGCCACTCCCTGACATCCTCGAGGCTGTGAGCAGTGGTCTAATGCACAGACCCCACTGGGCATCTCCCGTCTTGTTACAAACAGTACCTGCTGGGTGTTCTGGTCCCATCTTTTGGTGGACATAGGCCCTGTGTTTGCACAGGGCAACACGTGGGGGTGGACCTGTTGGCCTGTTGCTGGCAGGGCACGAGGACCCCAGCCCCCACCTCCCCACGGAGAACATGCGAAGACAGCCCCACACCCCACAGGCACCAGGCACAGGATGGGCCCACACACCCAGCTCCCCGGCCTAGGACTTCACACCTCCCATTCTCTCCTCCTCATGGAGAACCCCGAAGGAGGCAGAGCCTCCCAGGACCATGGGGTGGTGCCACGGGCCAGTGAGGGTGGTCCCAGCAGCAGCGAGGGGCTGTGTAGGCCCGCGGCCGTGAGGCCCCAGCTGTCCCTGCCACACGGGTCCCAGGACTCACACTGCAGCCGTCCCTCACCGAGGACCACCTTCCACCTCTGGGGGCCCCAACTGAGAGTCTACTGGGGAAGCAGCCTTGCCCCCTGCTTCTGTCAGCACATCGCAGGGAAGTTAGCATCTCCAGCTCCATAAATGAGGCCTTTGAGATGGACATGCTTCCCCCGCCTGAGACTTCAAAGAGCGTGAGAACTGGACAGCCTCTGGCAGGCAACCAGTCCTCTTCCGGGTGAGGCCTCGAGACTCCCCATCTGGTTTTGATGTGCCTCTTGGGGACTTCATGGGACGGAGACTCTCAACTTTGTGATTAGTTATGGTTATGAGAGAAACGTCTAAATGAAATCACAGATAATCTTAAGGCCAATGGTATCAACTAGATCTCTAGTGCCCCTGGGAGAAACTGAGGAATGGCCAGGAGATAGGTGGTGGACACAACTGTCCCCTCAGAGCATGTACCAACCTGAGACAGCGGGCCGGACCCACATGTGAGGAGGCTGTGAGAACAGGAGCCCAGTTGCTGGGTCCCCAGCACCAAGAACAGTGCCAGGCACACACTTGGCCTGCAGCACACGAGCATTCGATGCATCAATGAGCTTCATGGGGGGCGGGGGGGGGCTGGTGTGTACACAGCCCCTCACTGCAGAGTCCAGTGAGATACCAGTGTCCGGCTGTGGCCACACCAGGAGTTGGGGATCACAGCCTGACCAGAGGGCCCAGGCCCTGCTTCCTTCACAGAGCTCCCCCACCCCAGGGGCCAGCCAGGAGACAGCCCCACGAGTGGCCATGTGGGGTGTGTAGCCTGTTCCTCCTGGCTCTTGGCAGGGTGGGATCTCAGGAAGGCCTGGCTGAGAGCTGTGTCACGATGAGGTCTCTGGACTCGGGAGAGGAACACCTCGTTTGCTCACCCTGTGGTGTCTGTGCTACCCTGAGGTAGGGTGCGACTTGATGGGAGAGTGCATAACCCGTTAGCAATCTGACCACGGGCAGCAGGAGGCCAGGAAGAGCCCTTTCACCCTTGCCTGGACCCTGGGGGGCAGAGCAAGCCATTAGAGCAGATGTTTAGATGTGAGAGAGCTGGCTGTCTTCTCATCTCCACGGAAACTCAGAGCTTCAAGTAATGACCTAAACCCGAGCAGTTTGGCTGAGCACTGATGATTTAATCATCTCTTGGGACAGCAGGTCCAGACGGAAGCAGTTTCATCCCGGTCTGGGCCCAGCCTCTCTCTGCCTCGCTATCTCTAGAACACTGGCTCTATTTTGAAGGTCACCAACTCCTGGTTGTAAAACGACTGCTGCAGCTCCGGACAGCACATCCCCATCCAGATGTACTTAAGGCTGGAAGAGGCAGGATGCCAAGCTCTCCCTGCCTGTCATCATCAGAGAATGAACCCCTTCCTGGAGGAACCCAGCAGACCCGTCCTGTCGGCTGAAGCTTGTCGCAGGACACCCTCATGGGGGAAATGTGAATCCAGGACAGCCTGGGACTATTTCAATCGCCCTCGATCCCACCCACCAAATCCAGTTGCAGTGACGTGGGATGAAGTATGGGTAGTAACTGACAGACACCAACACGCCTGCAGGGCACTGTCCTTCCATGGGCGTTCAAAGCAGAGGCTTTGGGTGACCCCCAAATGCTGGGAGCTCCCGGCAGGATAAGCTCACACATCTCCCCAACAGGTGACTGCACATCAATGTCTAGAACACTGCTCGGGACTTCCTGGGAGGCCCAGCCAACACTGATCCTGGCCCAGAGCATGTGAGCAGCACCTCCTGCCACCCCCGTCTGCTACCTACAGGGGTGGAGGGCAGGGCCGGGAGGGAGCTCCCAACGTCAGTGTCCTTGACCCCTTCCATAACCAATCAGGCTCCTGAGTGACAGGCAGCCCTGTGTGGCGCTGAGCTGTGGAGCAGGCCAGGACTCGCCCCAGGTGATGAGCCCTCCCCCATGCTCTGTTCACCTCCCCTCCCCCGCAATCAAATGCCCCCTCATCTCTGTCCCATACGATCTCCAGAGCTGCCAGGACATCCTTCCCAAGGTCTACCCCTCGGCCTCCTTCCCACTCAGGGCTGCCCTAAAGTTTCCCCATAAAACCACTATGACCCTGTACCAGTGGCGCCCAGCCCAAGGACTCTGGTGTCAGTACCTCTTGTCCCCGGCCGGCCTGTTCCAGGTTCCCCGTGAAGGCAGACACCTTGGTGTCCTCAGCGGGGATGCTGCACCGAAAACCTGTGGGACCTTCTCTACTCCGTGCCCCAAACTGTGGAGGGCAGGGTGGCCATGGAGAGCTCACAGGGGGCCAGGGTTTGGCCGTGAGTGGCCCTGGGTCATGTTCTCTCCTGGGACCCCTGGGGGTCCGTGCAGATCCGGGACCCACCTGCCTCAGACTCCAGCCCCGGGAAAGAAGAGCTCGCGCTGCACAGAGCGTAACCCATTCACATTTATAGGAGACACAAAGGAGGCAGGCGGACGACACATCAGCATTTCCACTCCAGGGAACTGGCCAATTCCGACCAGAACAGCGATCAGGAACATAATTGTACAGCGTCGGGGCACGGCATGGACGCGGGCTCAGTCCCACTCCCCGTCCCCCTCGGGGTTGTCCTCGCGAGCTGCCTCCACGTCGTGGAAGTGGAAGTTGGCCATCATGTCTCGCACGGCCAGCATCAGCCTGTTCAAGCCTTGGTTGCGGTTCAGACCCCCAGCCCCTCCATCCTCCATCCTCTCCCCCTGCAGCAATGAGACTCGTCTGAGCAGGGTTGTCCTGGGCCCCGAGGCCCAGCGCTCCCAACCCAGCTTGCCCAGGACCCTGCTGGGAAGAGGGAGCTCCTCGGCGCAAACACGTTTGACGAACAAGGCCAGGCCCCAGCGGGAGGTCAAGGAGCCACGCTGAGTTGAGGGGCCAAGCTGGCGGCTACGGTCTCAGGTGGGCATGTCCCAGCCTCCTGAGCAGGCTGGCTACTGGCGCCAGCAAAGCCTCTAGACATGCACAACCCCACGGCCCGGCCTGAACCCACATGGCAGAGAAAGGCCGAGACATGCTCACATACCTCCATGGTGTAATTGGGCAACAAAGACCGGAAGAAGAGGGCAATTGTGTTTCCATGGCTGACGGGACTCAGCCTGAAAGAGGAAAGAAGGTCAGAGAGTGCCGCTGTGTACCCTGCCCTGGGGTTGGGGGGAGACAGCCCACACGGTAGCTGGGGCACATGCTCAGGCCTCACAGGGAAGGGCATCCAGAGGGGGCGGGCCCTTGGGGACCTGGCTGGTTGAGCTGAGCAGAGTGTGGAGGGTCACCTGCCACGGCTCGGGTGGCTTGCTTTTGAGAAACACCGCGCAGGGGATACAAAGCGGTCATGTGAAGAGAAGGTTCTAGGGTGTGCTGGGGAGTACCCTCCTGGTAAGACATGGAGCTGGAGCCCAGCTCCCCTGGACATTTAAGGACTGATGGCCTCGGGTCGGCACAGCCCTTCAACCACTCCTCAGGGCTACACTGTCCAGCAAGACAGTTTTTCTGAACCTACCAACATTACAAATGCCTAAGTGTTACCTTAATCAATCTGAGAATTTAAGCGGGCACTATTTCCCTAGAAGCATGCAGTCCAACTTTTAGAAAAAGTCCTTTATCCTACATAATGTGCTCTACCTCTACTGAGGTCTGGAAAGAACACGCTTTCTGAAATGGGAAAGTCTGTGACTCCAGATCTACAAGGTTGTGCCGACAGCCTCGTGGTAAGGCAGTCACTCAGCTTGAAAGGCTAGAAGGAAAGAAAAAAGCAGCTTTCCCGCAATCCAAGGCTAAACGCAGTCCACAAATCCACTGCAGACTTGGGCTAGCTGTGCCCTCACTGAAGCTCTCCCGGGTTTGGCCACAGGCCTTTCTCTGTTCGGAGTCCTATGTATCAGCAGTTCCTTACCGTGGTTTTGATTTTACATTTATTTCTAGATTCCATAATTAACACGTCCCCCACCGCACTGCACACTCCACAAGGGCAGAAGTGGTGCATTACTCCTGCTTCCCACTGTTACCTCCAACACCTGTTCTAGAACCCAACCAAAAAACGTTTCTACATCAGACAAGTAAGTAAAAGTAAGTGAAAGAACACGGCCGGCGAAATCTGACCCGTGACCCCAATCACACCATCCTCCGAGGGCCTGTGTCTGGAGGAGGCAGGGAGCCCCAGGGAGCTGTAAGCACTGACCTCAGAGCCACCCAAGCAAAGGAGCAAAGCAGGAGGCGGAGAGGTACCTCTCTGGTCTGACGTAGGAGTAGATGGTGTCCAAGGGAGGCAGAGGGTCGAAGCCCATCACAGACTGCGTGGTCACGTCCTTCAGAAAGGGAAACAGAACCGCCGTGAGCCCTGGCTGTGCCCCCAGCTGACTTCCAGCTGATTCTAGCCTGGGCTGGCCTCTGCGCGAGGAGTCTGTCAGTCTGACAGAATCTGTCCTTGGCTGTGAGGCTGCATCTACTGGACTAAGAAACTGGGTGAAGGGTGGGGACGCTCACTCTGCCCTGCTCAGATGGCAGGGGTGCACGTGCAACAGAGAAGGAACGGCTCGATCACCTGTGCCAGGGTCTCTCACTTCAGTGCTCCAGGAACCCCGAGCCGCTCAGACAGCGATGAGCACAGCCCCACCCCTCAAAACCCCAGCTGTGAGGGGAAGGGCCCAGCAAGTGACAAAGCTCCCATTTTCAGCCCCTCTCCCTTACCGGAGGGAGGGCGGCAACAGCTTCCTTGACCTCGGACAGGACCACGTGGCGGTGGATGTTTCTGGGTGCACGCTGGTAGAGCACCTTCCGCCTAGGCCCAGGGAGAGAAGGGAAAGCACAGGGAATGAGCCTGCCCTGGCCCTGTGGCCACATTTGTGACAGCCACCCTGAGCAGATGGGCTTCACCCTTGTGAGGACCCATGAGGCCAAGCACTGCCCTGTCCCCCCTGGCCTCTGGGCCCACCTGCTCTCACACGCTTCCACTGCGGGGTCCCCAGAGTCCACTGCCTGCAGAACCTCGCGGACGTTCTCCTCTAGCCAGCTCATGGTGGCGGGCTCCTTCCAGAGGAAGTGCGACCTTCCGAGGTAGAGGCTCACCAGCTGGCTCAGGGCAGGGGGCTGGCTGTGGGAGAGGGGGGCTTGTGAGCAGAGCCCGCCAGGGCACGGACTCCACACACCCACTCACACTTGTCGGGGGTGGGGTGCAGGGGCCTGTCCAGCAGCCTGGGGGTGGAGGAGGTTGCCCAGAGGGGCTGCCGACTGGAGATGGGCCGTAGTAAGTACAAGTTCTTTAAAAGAAACGTAAAACAGAGGGAAGGTGTACGTCTGCGCACACAGAGACAGTGGATAGCCGTGCTGGTTCACTAACGGGGCTCCCATGCTGCATGTTCACCTTTATTTTTCACGAGACATTTGGGAAAGACAGTCCATGCGTGTACAGATGTGTGATACGAAACCCACCCAGCAGGTGCAGGTGCCGGCACAGTGGGCCCCACGCCCTGCCCACTTCTCATCAGGAAGGCCTGAGCTCTGAGCTGCAAGCTGCTCTCACACCAGCCAGCTCTGGGTCTGAGCGGTGAGGCGATGCCCCACGAGGACCTGGGACCCAGCCCTCCTCAGCGGGACAACAGTCTGGCTGCCAAGGTCTCCTGCAGAGAGTGCCTGGCAGGACCCTCCCAGTGACAGCCAGCCTCATGAGCCTCGGGTCTGAGTGCAAATGGTTCCCGGGCTCTGCTCTGAGGAGCATACCCATGACCCACATGTGGGCGGGCCCTGTCCTGTCTTCACCTGATCTCGGCATCTGGTCCGAAGAAGCGGTGAGTGGCGACAGCGGCGTCGGGCCGCACGCTGCAGTACTCGAGCAGAGGCAGGAGAACTGCGGGAGGAAGAGGGGCCCCCAAGGGCAGGGTGACACCAGGGTGAGGCCAGTCTGCCCACACCAGCCCCCAGCGGGGCTCTGCCACTTTAGACAGGGTCATCAGCCTTGCTGCCTCCCAGTGGCCCCGTGTGCATCTGAGGGGTCACACCCATGACCTGCCAGGCCAACACACAAAGCGTCCTAACCCCTGAGCTCACACACATTCCCCCTGCAGGCTGGTGGGGGAGCCAGCTCGTGGGGTTCAGGCCTTGGGCGCCCCGTACCTTGGGCGGAGACAGGCTCTGCCCACTTGTTAGAGCGCTCTCCCTCTGAGTACCCGAGGCCTCGCCACAGCCATGTCACCCAGAGAACCGTGTCTTTGAGTGCCCTTCCAGGGATGGGTGAAAGCAGGGCAGCTCAGTGTGCAACAGGACCCCCCGGGCTGCACGGAAACACCACCAGCAGTCGGCACACGGCCGCCAACACCCCTGACTCCACACACACAGCCAGCGCCCACCAGAGGCCTCTCCTCCTAACCTCACGCACCTCAACGGGGAAGAGTCAGTCCTCCGAAGACTTGGCCAGGCAGCCCTGCGTGTCAGGCCCAGACGTACAAGTCCGGTGGGAACCCTCAGTGACACAGGCCTCAGTCCTGCCCTGGCCACCTCCTCAGACCTTCACCATCCTTGTCTACACCCCCTGCTCTGTTTTCTCCCCAGCACCTAGCACCACCTGATACGTCATCCTTTTCAGCTCATTCCACTGTCTGTCTCCCTGCCCTGGGATGTGAGCCCTAGAAGTGGGGATCCTGGCTGCCTCCTCTGCCTGGCCTGGGACGCAGCAGGCTCACGGAGGTGAAAGGGTCACTGAGAGGGGGCTGTGGGGACAGTGTGCATGAGCTTCATGGCCTGTCCCTGGCACACAGCCCTCTGTGAAACTGCACGTGGCAGGAGGGCCCAACTCCACCAGGACCCTGATGGGGCAGCAGGCTCTCTATGATCTCCTCTCACCACCAAGATCAGCCCACAGGACTGTCTCCGCGTGGACACCAGCCCACTACTCCAGGGAACACAGGGATGGTGGAAGGACCTCTGTGCAATCCCAGGACAACCCTGTCTCTAAGTTCTTCAACTCAATGAGAAATGGGATTTGCGGACTGGGTCCCTCCTGCACGGTTCTGCTAACGTCCAGCAGCTCATGTCCCTCTCTCTAGAAGACACCCGTCTTCAGAGACTAAGTTTTTCTCAGTCAATATCAAAACACTTATCCTAAAACCCCAAGAGAGTTGGACGCCAAAATCAGTTGTGACTTATTTTCAGCTTCTGAATTGCGTGTACGTGCATGCAGGGGTTTGCGAGGGTGCACTCACCTCCAGGGAACATGGTGAGTGCCTGTCGGATCAGGATAGAGGCCTGCTCCCTTGCAGAGCTGAGCTCCTGCTCGGGGAGGTCTGCTTGCTGACTCAGCAGGAAATACGCCAACGG